ATGCCATGCTATGGTGTGCATATGTGCTGCTGAAACCAGGATAATTTCATTTCTTCTGGCTGAGTGGATCAAAAAGAACCACAGTTACTGTTTTCCTTCTGTGTGCTTTCCCCCTTTCATGCAGTAATCTGCACAAAAGGCAGAATTAAAGCGGCGCTCCCCCAGAGCCAGCCTTCTCCTTTCAGATTAAAGAGGAGGTAAAGTATAAGAAATCGGGAGGACATGCAGGTTTGGGGTCAGAGGGATTGTTGAAAACACTCTCAGGTTAAAGTTCCAGTTTAATCCGTCAAAATTTTTTAAAGGGCTTACGGAGGCTTTTGCAAAAACAATGGGTATTTATTTCTGTCATGACTTGAAGTTTGATAGTGTTGAATTCAATATTTCAGTTTTAAATAGGACATGCACCATAGCAGACACAACATTATTACCACTAACATGTGACGTGAACGTAGCGGTGGGTCAGTGATCTGTTGGAAGTTTAAAGGCCTTGTATTCATATGGATGTCATTGTCCTGAACTCCTGAACGCAGTTTGCTTTTACACTACAAATACAGCTCAGAAACCTTTCAAGGACTTCAAAAAAGCTTTTGATTGTTGAGTTAATACTGCACGGTGCTAGTACTAGACACCAGAACACACCAGCGGTATCTGGGACCTTAATTACTACGCTGTTCTACAAAAACACAAAGAGAGATGAACATACACTGAATAACATATTAGGGTTTTTTAAATGACTCCCAGAGGAGAGGGGTTTCTATGACTTACACTGGTTTCTTTCCCTCACGAAAATATTCAACTTACCATATCAGTAGACGCCAGATGTGAATAACTCTCTGAAGTCACTCCACATCATGACTTTGAAAATAAGGCCAGGACTTCTAAGCTTTTTTGTGAAAGATTTACTGTACTTTCATGCCAAAGGTCCTTCCCCTACTGCATCACCCAACTTCCGTGAGACAGCCGACCTAACGATATCCTGTTGAGAAACGTTCAAATTTATTTCCCCCTATGATGAAGGCAAGCAGTTCAGGTCCAGAAGCAGCACAGCAACTGTAAATCAATATGCACGCTTCACCATCCTTTACCGGTGAGATTATATTTCATATCCACAAAACATTTTCTTAGGAGCAAAGCAAAGTCTCAAGGTGCCTCCTCTTAAATTTCAGGTAAGCAGTGATGTATCTAACAGCAGGGCCAACTCTGTCTGAGCCTTATTTTTTTTCTCTGTTCCCCACAGAGCTTTCTGCTGTGTGTTTTTGGAGTCGTAGTGGGTCACCACATGACTAGGTAATCTTAAAATAAAGACAGACTGACATTGTCCATCATTAGCAAAGCTTACTGTAACATAAAACAAAATTAAACCAAGGGACATTTTTAAACTTTTGGACAGTGGGGCGAAGCCGCAATACCCAGTGGAACCCACAAAGACACAGGGAGAACATGCAAACTCCACACAGAAAGGTCTCGGATCCCCCTGGGACTCGAACCGGGAACCTTGTGAGGTGACGGTGCTAACCGCCACAGATTACACAATTCTTACATAATTCAAACTATTAAAGATATTCAGGGTGTGTGTACATCAAGTGATTCAATTTTTTTGGCTGGGACACATGTATTCATACCCAGTGCCATTGTGGGGCTGAATAAAAATGGTATAGGTTGTGCTTCAAAACAAGAAGATTCCAGTGTTTAGTACATGTGGAAATCAGGACACATTTGCAAATAAAACAAGTATGCAGATACATCCATTTTCATTCCATATTATTTTACAGGTCTTTTTTACTGCAGCACATTTTGCTGCTTCAGCTACTTGGACCAACACCTCTCAGCTACTTTTCTATCCTGCTTTGGGTTTTTGTACACTCGGCATCTGGAGCCGCATACGGTGGTCAGAAAACATTGTGTATAAAGTTTGACATGAGGCCTTTTTACGAGTGTCTGCATGTTGAATATCTCTGTTTCTGCTCCTTGAAGAGTGTGCGTGTCTTTGTGAATGTTTCTGTGCTTGTCTGCATTCAAACTCGCATACGTTCTATAAAATATTCATACATTCAAACCCTTTTTTCCCCCCTGGATCAAATCTTAAAGTGTAATATTACATTTTTTATCATATTGCTTCTCAATCACCTAACATAGAGGTCAGAGAAGAATATTCAATTTCCCTGTCTTCAGAACATGTGCATGTATTTTCTCCTGGGCATTGGAGAGCGTTACAATATGATAAAGCCATGTGCCTTCCTCTCCCACAGATTCAGGGGAAAACCTTTGCTTCAGTGTTCTGGTGTTGCTTTGTGACTGAAATAATATGACTCTAAACCCACCCTCCTTCACCTGAATTGACCCAAACTGGGAGGCGCTACTGCAGTTTTGCCTTGTAGTTAAGAAATATCTCTCTTGCAACTCTTGTGTTAGTCTGCAGGTTGTGAAGCTGATTAAGCTCTGCAGATAAAGTTAACGCACAGATCCAGCAGATTACAGCATAGCTGTATGTTACACCTACACTGTACTGTCTGAGCAAATCAGCCAAAGCTATCTTAATAATTTTGCTCTTTGTTCTGTTGTTCTATAAATGCTCTCACATACTGTGCTGTAAGCTTACTATGCTGCAAGCATAGTATGTGAGGCTACACCATGCTGTAAGCGTGGTGTAGCCTCATAGTGTAGCAGTGCATATCTGCTGTGCCCTGCGATATGCACATGATAGAAATGCATGACAGCATGCATAATCACATTCGGTCATACCCCAATAATTTTACTACTTTGATGAATTTTGAAATTAGGTTGAATGTTGCAAGATTTTTTTTTTCACACAGTGCTGTCAGAATGTGTGTTAATGAGTATTCTAAAATATTAAGAATATCAAATGATAGAAATGTTCCTGTTTTGTTCCGTACTGCAACATTTCTATGTGAGCATAAAACTCTACCATTCTGTATAGAGGAAGCCTAACGAGTAACAGAATGCAGGGGAAAGAAGGAAGGAATTCTGTGAAGAGCATTGTATCAGAGTGAAGTTGATAAATAGCATTCCTTTCTTCTGGTTTTCTTTTTTTAAGTTCACAAAAAAAAAAAACTCAAGTCCCCACAGAGTTGGACGTGGATGCGCAGGTGCCGTTGCTCTTTGATTTCTTCCAGCTCTGCACAGTCATCCTTGAAACAGGAGACCAGCCCTTTTCACATCACATATAACGGTCAAGCTAAATTCTTTCATCTTGTTGCATACTTCTTTCACACTTTCACTCCCCGGTGATTGCATTCAGTTGAACATTTCATTCGCATTCTTCTGTTTTCACCCTCACCTTCACGAGGAGAACACAACCTTCCCCTCTACTCCGGCCGCCTCCTTTCTAAAGTGAGAGAAGAAGGTGCGAACGGAGAGCCAGAAAGGGCATCTCTCTCTCTGCCTTAAGAATTATGATCAGCCTTGCACCTTCCCTGCAGAATCCAACTACAGCCACACATAAAATCCACACTGAAGAAATCTGAATGTGCAGCTATAAAGGCTTTTGCCAGCGTCTGATTCGAGGCGAGCCGTAATGAGTAAAAGTTCCCCCAGGCCACGCCGTTATGGAGGATAGGTATTGATGTGTGTCATGAAGGCAGCATCATTATTGCAACACACTGCGGAGGGGTGAGATCCTGTACAAGGTGTGTCCTGCAGTGGTGGGTGTGGCTAATGGCTTCACTGCAGTGAGGCAAAACTTCCAGTGGATGTCTGCGTGAGGATGAAGCTCCAGTAAAGCACACAAAGCACCGCAACTCACTCATTTCTGGTGTACATGAATCCCACTTTTATTTTCCACAGAAAAAAAAGAAGATGTTTGCTTTTTTTCTGATCGGTTAAGGTTACATTTAAAACCATTCTATGAAAAACTGTAGCACCAGAGCAGGTTTCCATTGCCCATTCTTTGATTAAAAATGTCAATTTGTGCTATTTTTTTTCAGGTTTGATCAGCTTTGATTGGGGACAGATTGTATATAAAACGAAAAACGACTTGCACTTCATTTCTTTTTCCAGTCAGTTGCAAAACAAAGCAGAGAGAACTGTATATCTTAATTTCTTAATTCAAATCACAACAAATACATTTAGAGCAAAATAAAAATAAAAAATCGGTTGGTATTGAGCATAATCCAAGCAGGGAATAGGCTTTCATGATTATTATTATCATATATTTATATATTCATTTGTATACATATTTATATATATTTTATGTTTATGTACAAGTATGGCACTTGATTACACAAAAGCAAGAAAACACTTCACAAATAAAAGCAGTGGGCGCTTTGGTGTGTCATAAATTAAGGAAGTCACAGACGTTAGCGTTTGCAGCAAATTCACCAGATACTGTTTTGCGAGTCAGCTAATAAGCAATGGAATGGTTACATACGTTAAGGTCAGTGGTGCAACACAGGCAACAAAAAACATGAATTAAGCTGATGTATTTCAACTACGTCGAACCATAGTAAGGATTTATATGTCTATGCATATAGAAATCTAGATGGTAGATTTTTTTTTTCCTTTGAATTGTGCCATTTAATGAGGTTGGTGCCAGAAAAACATGTGGAAAGAAAAATGTCCTTAAAAATACCGTCAGGTCAGTAGCACATTTGGGTAAGATCAGGCTCTCAAGTGTTCACCTCATAGTGCAATGTGTGTTGCATTTACTCTCTTCAAGTACATCAGAACAGCCCACAAAGAGTAAATCTGTGAACACGTTATCATGGTCTCTATTTAGCATCTTACAGAGTATAAACGTTACTAAAAAGTTGCATCAGTGCAATAATAGATAAGTCAGTAAACGTGAAATCCACGCTTGCCATGAAGTCCATAAAAGAAATCAAAGAGAAAAACAACGAAATCTGCCCACTCTTTTAGTCATGACACGAAATAGGCGTGCGGAGCTGTCCGTCATGTCCATCCTGTTTTTGTTTGGATTTTTTGTTTGTTTGTTTGTTTGTTTGTTTTTACACGTTTTCACTCCTTCCTCACCATATGTGAGCCTACACGTACGCAGAGTCACTGGACTGAGTGCGGCCAAAATTCGGCACACTCATCCTGGGCAAGTCCTTATTTCTGATTTCGTAAATGGACTTCCGTCGGGCTTGCACACCTCGCACGGCCGTTTTGATTTTCCTCCAGCCCAAATGGTTGAGTTCTGCCAGGTTCAGCACCACGCAGAACCCACTCACCGCGAACATGAACACCAGGAAAACGGTCTTCTCCGTGGGTCTTGAGACGTAGCACTCGACATCTTTGATGCAGGGGTAGCGGTCACATTCGTACACGGACGGGACGTTGAATCCATACAAGAAGTACTGACCCACCAAAAAGCCGATTTCCAGAGCGTTTCTGAAAACCACCTGGATGATGTAAAACCTGGAAATGCCCTCCTGTCGCCTCATTTTGGACTTTGTAGTTCTCATGGCCGAATTGGGGATCTCTTTCACCTCTAAGCAGTCCGGCTCGGCTTCTTTGGTGGAGTTCTCTGTGTTCTGAAGTACTCCATTGACAATGGTGTTCTTTATCTTTTTGCTCTCGTCTCGCTTCAGAGAATCTTGATCCTTATCTAGTGTCAGATAGACTGTCGAGTATCGCCGCTCCTTCTGCTTAGCCGACTGGTGCACCGAGTATGTGATGAAACAGAGACTCGGGGTGCACACCATGATGATTTGAAAAACCCAATATCTAATGTGTGAAATGGGAAATGCTTTGTCGTAGCACGCCTGGTTGCAGCCCGGTTGCAAGGTGTTACAAACAAACATGGTCTGTTCGTCATCATAGACAGTCTCTCCAACTATTGCTACGATTAGAATCCGGAAGATGACCACCACTGTTAGTAGGATCCTAAAAAGCAAGCAAACAAACACACATTGTGAAAATATGTGTAAGTATACATGTGTGTACTGTGGATGTGGTTCGGTTGTGCGCTCCCACGGTGGCCGGAGCGCTCCGTGTGAATTTAGGGAGCTGTCCGGTGCTGAAAAAGGGCGCTCCGTTAGATGACAGCACCTGTATCGTGTGTGTGTGTGTGCGTGTGTGTGTGTGTGTGTGTGTGTGTGTGTGTGTGTTTCAGTCTATCTGTTGAGCTTGTGTTTTGTGATTGAATGATTATGACAGCTCAACAATCAGCGATGCTTCGATTATACCTGTGTGAGCGTGTTAATGGAATGAGGCGAAAAACGCCGACTCTCGTTCAGTCTCTTCCTGCCACCCTCTGAGTGCACAACCAACACTCACACACCAATAATTTGTCAAATGGAAAAAATGAATGACTGAATGGATACATGAAACGACACATGAATTTTCATTGAGATTGTTTGACTTTGCAGCACCATCCCAGGTTCCTAAGAGACAGCTGGATTCTCATCTACTCAGCCGTCTCGTTTAGGAGGACAAAAAAACACAATCTGGGACACAAAACAGCCAAAAATCCACGACACAGACACGGAGGACTGGGCACCATGCTACAGAAGATCCTGATGGCACAACACAGAAACGGGGGGCTGGGAACCATGCTAAAGACGATCCTGGAGGCTGCTGCGATTCTTCTGGTCTTGCTTTCTGTTGATCACCTTACCTTCCTATCATAGTAGAGTGCTGCTGGACAGCAGCCTCCAGGAGCCTCTCTAGTATAGTCCATTCCCCCATTTCTGATCATCCGGAGAAGACGATGAAACAACGGCGTTCTGTTCAAATCCCTTTTTTAAAAAAAAAGGTTTTATTTCCTGTCCGATCTCACTCTGGATTTGATTGTTGTCAGTGTCCAGAGCGTCCGAAATGGTCTAAAAAACGCATCCGTCACGGGATGCTTATACCGTCTCCGTTTCCCCCTGCCCGGCTGTGCGCTATCTGGTTGGTTCTGAGCTGAGAGCGCAGCGCCAGTGAGCGTCCTGCTGAGAGAGCCGAGCGCTGCCCCGACGTTACCACACTGTTCCTTGTCATGGGAGTCTGAGGGCTGATTACTGTAAGCCCTCCTATTTTCGATCTTCAGATCAGGTTGATGGGCTGCGCGCAGCGTGTGGATGGAGGCAGGTTGGATTTTATGTCTTGCCAGCGTTAATCCGCCTTTAAGTAGTCTCCCCCCCTCCCATGCGTCACGTACGCGCCGACAGGTCGGTGGAGCGCAGCCAGGAGCGCCAAGGCATCTAATATCCAATATTTTACTTTGGATATAACGTGCACTTTAAGCGGACCTTTGAGTCCAGAGAGCCACAACGTGTATTTATAGAATATTTTTTTCAAATACATGTTTTCGAATGGGATGCAAAACTGTCCCATGCATTTGCACTTAATTGTGTCGTTCTAGGGAAAGGGTGGATACACAGTGTCCTCAGAACAAGGTGACTCCTGTTTTATTGTCTTTTGTTTTCGTTTTTTTGTTTTTAATCAGTGATCTATAGACACATACATGTATTTAGGTTCCAGTTTGGACCCAGCCCATTTTGATCTGCTACATCTGGAGCCCTTGGTGTGTGCTACAGGCTACACGGAGCCAGTCTTTGGCAGAGACCAGCCCCGTGTACCCCGAGGTACCCCCCCCCCCCCCCCCCCCCTCCCTCCCTGTCGCAGGCTCCTGGCCGGACGGCAGAGCTGTTGTTTCCACCTCAGGCAAAGATGACGCTGTGGATACAGTGACAGAGTGAAAGTACCATCCGAGTTGCTAATCGCTTTACAAAGCAGCCCGGCCTGCCTGTCTGCTCCGCTCGCTGAAGTTTAAAAATAGAAGCAAAATATATGACTCCGCCCTGTATATCTCCGTGAGATTTCAACTTATCGCGCTGCACAGTGTGTGCACTAATGAAGCGACTGTCCTTTTTTACACGTGTGAATCCACCCCTTGCAATTTTTTTCATCAAATAGCTGCTGTGGAATTTGATCATTTTAATGGATTATTACTTGGATTATTATAATGTGTTTTTTTTCTCATTCTTATCATTGGGTTCGTTCAACTTGGGCTCTACTGACCACGGTGTTGTCACTAAATGAAACTTTGTGAGGTTAATTTCTCATGAGGCAGCTGATCCTCTCCTCCCCCTGTAATCTTTTCTAATTTAAATCTTCAATAACCTTTACTCGCTCATCACGTGAGGAGGAAAGGACAGAGCTGTGCTGTTTCCAAGAGACAGAAAATAAAGCATGACAGATAGAAATGGGCTGAGCACCTATTTATTTAGAAATCTATACATATCCACATTTAAATTGCACTTATGGAAATAAAAGATTAAGAAAATATTAACTGTTTTTGGGCTACATCATTAGTGACTGGTACTGATAAAAGGAAGCAAGAAAGGGTGGAGAAGGGGGCAGTTTGATTATTAGAAGCACTTCCTGTGGACAATTGAGGGTCCAGCCTCATCATACTCCTGTTTGCTGATCCACATCTGCTGGAAGGTGGACAGAGAGGCCAGAATGGAGCCGCCAATCCATACAGAGTACTTCCTCTCAGGCGGAGCAATGATCTAAACAGAAAAATACCCCAAACAGATCAAACTTGTGTGAAAGTGGAAGATTGACAACCAAAAACAACACTGTTTGTTTAAGTTGGTCCAGTCACCTTAATCTTCATGGTGCTGGGGGCCAGGGCGGTGATCTCTTTCTGCATGCGGTCAGCGATACCAGGATACATGGTGGTGCCTCCTGAGAGGACATTGTTGGCATAGAGGTCCTTGCGAATGTCGATGTCGCACTTCATGATGCTATTGTACGTGGTCTCGTGAATGCCAGCAGATTCCATGCCTGTACAAACCCGGGGGACAGAGGAATGAGTTTTTCTCCAGCAGCAAAGAGCACACATGGCACGTTTTCCAGTCGTCATAACAACAGGTGCTGAAATGGACAGCTCCACCAGCAGCTGTGCTCTGCAAACAGCCCTGGTTTAAGATCACTCATGCCTGTTTTACTTTTTTGAAGAAGTAAACTTAAGGTGGATGAGCCGTGTCCTCCAGTTGATGAGCATACACGACTTGCAATATGAACAGAAACAACTCTCTTACTCAAAGACTCACCAGTAGATTAGACGCAAACCACTGACTACTTGTTTGGAAGATTATTCACTCTTTCTGTTAAGACTTCCAAGTAGTCACACCAGGTAATCGCTCACTTAAGTTGCTTATTCAATTACCTTGAGCTCTAAAAATTACGCATTTTAACTAACCATGCCAACTTTAGATTCTCCGACAAGTTAAAAGAGAATTGCTTGAATTTCTTTCTTCAAATAACAAAGACAATTTGTGAGCAAAGGTATATATTTTTACATCGGACCGCTTCAGATTTATTGAGTCTTATTGACATGAATGGCCGCAGTTAACTATTATAGTTAATTTATTAACTTTAATAAGCATTTGACACAGTCTTTGCAGGGAAATATTGATTAGTATTTCTGACTTCACCATTACACACCAATGAATGAGGGCTGGAAAAGGGTCTCAGGGCAGCGGAAACGCTCATTGCCAATGGTGATGACCTGGCCATCGGGTAGCTCATAACTCTTCTCCAAAGATGACGAGGAGGCGGCAGTGGCCATCTCATTCTCAAAGTCCAGAGCGACGTAACAAAGCTTTTCTTTGATGTCACGCACGATTTCCCGCTCAGCTGCAGGGAAAAGGTACGAATGTTATACAGCCTGTGACTCAAATCTCAACCCATGCTGTTGAGGGGTGGATTTTCTAGTCAGTCCTCTGGTTGAAATCGTGCCATTTTGTACTTGATGATGGGAACATTTAAAACACTCCCAACATTTGTCAGTTTCCACTCACCGGTTGTAACAAAGGAATATCCACGTTCTGTGAGGATCTTCATGAGGTAATCTGTCAGGTCACGTCCAGCCAAGTCCAGGCGCATGATGGCGTGAGGAAGGGCGTAGCCTTCATAGATAGGCACGTTGTGGGTCACGCCGTCACCGGAGTCCAAGACAATACCTAGAATCCAAGTAGGTCTACATTTTAATCAGTGAGTGGCCGGAAAAAAACAAAATTTCCCACATGCATGAGGGACTCTGTCCTACCTGTGGTACGCCCAGAGGCGTACAGGGACAGCACGGCCTGGATGGCCACATACATAGCAGGAACATTGAAAGTCTCGAACATGATCTGAGTCATCTTCTCTCTGTTGGCCTTCGGGTTGAGCGGGGCTTCGGTCAGCAGGGTGGGATGCTCCTCCGGGGCAACGCGCAGCTCGTTGTAAAATGTGTGGTGCCAGATCTTCTCCATGTCATCCCAGTTGGTGATGATGCCGTGCTCGATGGGGTACTTCAGGGTCAGGATGCCTCTTTTGCTCTGGGCCTCGTCGCCAACGTAGGAATCCTTCTGGCCCATACCAACCATAACGCCCTGAAAATAACAATAGCCAGTGAGTTACTAAACTGATGGTTTGTTAATGATGTGTAGAACAATGAACACCTCATGTCACAGAGACTTGTAGATCTTTGGGGTCTTGGTACACAATTACGCACGGACAATGTGCGGGGATCTTTACCTGGTGGCGCGGGCGACCAACAATGGAGGGAAACACGGCGCGAGGAGCGTCATCACCGGCGAACCCCGCCTTCACCAGACCCGAGCCGTTATCGCACACCAGGGCGGTGGTCTCCTCGTCGTCGCACATGATGTGAGCTCTGCAAGCGGTTGTGGAAAGTGAAAGAGTTTTGTAAGGTGGAAATAAAATCAAAGTTAAGTTGATCCGTCACAACCAACAGTCCGTGAACCTGCTTGCAGCACTTTGAGTGAAAGCCCTTTCTGCTGCTCCTTGTGTTGGTTGTGTTGGTCAGCCCTGTGTGTGCACTCACCAGATCTGCACCGTGATCCGTTTCTGCAGGGTGGAGCCAAGGAGGTGGCCAAATGTCACGTCCAGCCACTTTATATTCCAACAAGTAGGCCAAGCATGCGACCCCTTCCCCATATTTGGTAACTGATTGCGCCACTGACGACAGCCGCTCCATGAAAGGCACGGCGACCAGGAGAGGGAACTCCCAAGCGGACATCTGCGCCGCGCACAGAGGACAGACAGACAATGACAGGCTTCCCTTTGATCTGTTACCAACTGATGACTCACTGTATTACATTTAAGAAAAAGAAGGGGAAAAATCATTGTGTTCGTGGTTGATCTAGTCGAGTCACACTTTCACATTTCTGAATTCACACAGTAACGCTTTTTTCTGTAAACAAGAACAAAGTAGCCTTACATCTGAACTGCACACATTGTAAACAGAGTCTGAAGCTAATTTGACATTTGCTTATTCACTCGGAAGGGTCTCCTAGCCCCACACTGGCTTAATAAGACGTGCCAGCCTCTTATACTCTATAGAACCCCAAAGTAAGGACTGGCCAAACACATGTAGACCAACGGCACCAAATGGAGAGAACATTTGTTTCTCACAGTTGGTATCAGCTGCTGTTGGACTTATTGGGTCCACATTTCGATTTAGTTTAACAGAGAGTGTTGGTAAAACCTCCCTATTTTTCTCCCCAGGTAACTATTCCAAATTCCAAGAGAAGCCTTTGCAGAGTAATGAAAAGTATTACTGTGAGTGGTTTTCGTTTCTAACATCAAGACAACAAAGAGAAGGAACAACTTTGTTGTGACAGATGCCTTGCGTCTTTTTTATTTTTACTTGGGAAAACACAAGACACAGGAAATGACATTGCCAGTTTAGTTGAAGCAGAAGGAGACCAAGCTCTGAAGGCTGTAAAATAACACTGGCTAAGAGCAGTGGATGGTCCCACCACAAGGAGGACGAGACAAAAGGGCACAGCAAGCCATGAATCATATGCTGCTGTCACCCGACCCCGAGCCATAACCCTTCACTGTGTGACTCTTTGTTTGGGTCTTATGTAATGAATTGTAGGCAGTGGTCTGCTTTAAGCATCTTTTTGACCCAGTATTCATACAGTGTTAACATTTTTTTTGGACCATATTTTAGTTAAACTAATCTGTGGAGAATCACATTGAGAATATCAAGATTAAAAGGTGGATGACTCATTTCAACCTGAGTTTGCCCTTTTGCTAAAGTATCAAATTGTTTTAAATGGTTTTGAAGAGTTTCCTGTTCTTCTTTTTTTAGTTACATGTGCAGGTTCAGTCACAGCCAGTTAAGGACGCAGGAACTATGTTGCGCTAAATATTTGTTACGTTTGCTGTGTGTTACAACTGCTGCCAAAGTAAGCAAAGACACCAACGTCCTGCGCTGACATTCTGAAGTATGACTTCCACTGTAGCATTTCTTACTGAGATTCTATCATCGTGCCACAATCATTCTGCTACACACAAACTAAAGATCAGCTTCATTACTGGGTAGATGATTAGATAATAAGGAGAAACTGTCAAGAACAAAAAGCATATCGATTTCATACGGGAATTTCACATCATGAACAGTGAATGAGCCTCTGCTGTTCTGCTGCATTTGAACTCTTCACAATGGTCTGAAAAGACTCTGACTTGTGGAGAATCAGAAACAGCAGAGTAAAAAAATACAGCGTATTATGCTGTCTAATTCATATAGGCTTCATTTTTCAAGCACAAATGCTGAATACTGATTTAATGTGTACACTACTCTACAAAACTGGCGTCATAGTAAAGGTAATATAATAAGTTATTTTAAGCAATCCATTATTCTAAACCAAATCTGAAAGAGAACACAGTAGGAGATGTGGCACACTTTAAGAGACAGTAAAAACTGCAGCACATTGCCAGTAATTGCTCACCCATTTCACACAGTGTGTCTGTATGTACATACATGTGTAATAGCCTCATGATTCGGGAGGGGAATAACAGAGCCGTGTGTGGTTAATTGAATGTGAGACCCTACACATCTCTGTCTCTCTGCCTCCCAGGTCTCCTTGCAGTTATACAGGATCAAGCTTTTTCCATAACCAGTCTCAGACCCCAATAAAAAATTCACCAGCTTGCCTCACTCTAAGTCTCTCAGCACAGTCCTGTTAGTTTGGCATCAAGACCAACCGCCTTCTGTTTCCAGGGCCTTTGGGTGGAAAAACAGACAAGAATTAAAACCGGGCTATTCTTTTGGCTTCTCTCCTTTAGAATTTTTGGGAGCAGAGCTGGGCAGACAAAAAAGAAATCTAACTAGGTCTCATATGGCGCTCGCATAAATATTGCAGCCTACATTTGGGCACTAGTTATGTCATTCTTTTAAAGAAATGTATCTACTATAGTCTGTGAGTTTCTTTCACTGTGTCATAGTCAACAGTGAGAAGGAAAAGTGAGAATTAAAAGCAGTTTGGATGGAAACCGAATATTAATGAGTAAAATTTGAATAAGCTACAACATAGACAGATTTATATGTATGCTGCTCAGCAAGATTATTTGATTTAGTATTTAAGGAGTCTCCAAGGGATTGAGTCCTGAGCTATTTTTGGTGACTTAGAGTGTATGATGGAAGTAAAAATGAAAAGGATTACTTTTGAGTTTTCAAAAAAGTATCCTCACAGATAAAAAAAAAAAAAGTACCACTAAACAGGTTTTTCCTTTCAAATAACTTTTATACAGGCAAGGTCTTAGACTCAGCCTGTGGCTGAAGCATGTCTGTAATGCTTATTAAAACTCTAAGCATCTGTCAAAGGGAGGCTGTAAAAGAAATCTGGATCATCTAGATCTAGATCTGTTGTAACTTATAAAGATACTCAGTCAATGGAGTTTCTTTTAAACTCTTATTCTATTTCAAGTCATGCTTTCTACAGCTTCCAACCGTTTTATATTCCAAGATAAAAAGAAAGTTTGCTTCATTTGAACTTTTCAACCAAAGGCGGGGACTTTTAAAGTGAACTCAGTCAAGGTAGCTGTGTCCTTCTAAGTAAGTTCAGTGAGTTCTGCTCCGGTATACGTACAAAAGTATCAACGTCTGACAATGCAGACTGAATGCAGAATGAGTATAAAATACTAATATAGAATATCAAAATATTTTATCCCTATTGAATACGTATTGATGGCCCTCAGCTAATGGTGATATATTTGACAACTGCAAACACTATTCAAATTCCTTCAATTTCTTTACCTCAATTTCTTTACATCCTTTCATCATGCAACTCCTTTCTTTTCTTTTTGATGCAACTCTTTTCAAATTTGTATATTTGAATATATACATTATTCTAAAAGAGTCTCAGTATCTGCAATTCATTTGTGAAAACCTTTTATTGCAATTGACTTAGCAAACATCTGCATATTCACACTTAAATGTCTGTATAACAGTACTGTACTTGAGCTAGTGTGCTGCACTCACACACACCATTATTGAGTCATAGCTACCCCCCCCTATTCACGGAGGCTATTGTGGACTGTTCCAGATAACCTCTGGAGTTATATTACCTTTTGACCTTTGGCTTATTTTCATTGTCACTGTGTCAGTTAATGCACACTAAGGTTTATTACCAGGAACGCATACAAGCAGAAAACAGGTGTTTATGGCAACTTTTCCTTTAGTAGAAAAGTCAGACAGCGTTACTGCTGGTTTTGGAGCTCCACTATGCATTTCTGGATCAAACCAAGCGCACCCGAGTGCAGCATTACAGCAGAAGGTGATGAGGTCGCTGAATTAGTATGTGCCAGATGAGAAATGGTAATTAAGCATGATTCCTATGAAAGGTTTGCTCATGCGCGGCTGTTCAGTCCACTGTTTGTTAGGATAGCTCACTGCACATGGGACAAAGTCACAGGAGGGAAAACCGTAATTCATTGTGAAGAAATTGAATTAAACATATTCTAATGTTCCACTGAGACAGCACATTGAATAACAGCATGGGCCTAACTTAACTTTAGGTCATAGTTACATTTTTATGTGTTATGTGTTAGAGGCAGAAGACATCTAGGGCATTAAAATATGCGCACACGCTGAAATTATTATAATTTACTATGGAAATGGGAGATTGTCACCTTAGATTAATTTAGCCACTCTGAAACATTATTTTTGTCAGAACTTTCCGGTCTCTGCATGACACGTTTCCTTTCAAGGGTTTTAAGCTGAAATATCAAATTCAAACCTTCAGCCAGAACCATTGAATTTTCACAAGTGTATTGTTTTCTAGCAGCTAACTACAAAATTGTAAAAACTTGGAACTAATAGACCTAAGATTGTTTAATGAGTGGGTCTGGGGTGATCAATTACAATATCTGCAATCAATCAGTTCAAATTGTCAAATGTTCAATTGTTAAATGTTAAACTTGCCACCTGTTCATGGGAGTTTTCTTCAGCAAAAAAAAAAATCCTCCCATTTTCTCCTCCCATCATCAAGTCTGTTTCAACCAGCAGTGGGAAAACTTGTTCCAGTGAAAAGCAGTAAAAACCAATGTCCTGATAACACAAAGCAGACAGATAGATAGTGAACATAGTGGCATTTTCACCACCTGAGGTGTGGGGTATCTTCCTCTTGAATGAGTGGGAGTTAAAGCCGGGTAAAATGGATACTCAATGTTTTGACACTTAACAGGTGATTACGTGTTTATATTCTGTTTTACAGTGTCCAAGAGGCTTAAAAAAACTGCTTTAAAAACATCACATGGTTTAGTTACGTCCATCCTTCAGTGTCTTTTATGGCCACATAAAAAGGTCTGTAAAGTTACAAACGCTGCAGGCTAAGCTAAATGGACTCACCCTCTGAATGGAGGACCCTTCATTGCTGGCTGTTTGTAACGCAGGTTTGTTTCCTTTACTTAACGACATCCTCATGAAACATGCCAGCTTAATGCTTCCTCTATGACTAACTTGGGAAACCTCAAACAGAGCTGGAGCAGATGCCCTGCACTGCAGCATTCTGGGTAAATTAGCTGACCAATTTGAGTGGGCTGGTGTTCTTCAGTTTTAAAGAGACGGGACTAAAAACAAAACGTTACAGACAGATGTCATCAGGCATTGCAACAATATGGGAAATGTCACTTTTATTTTTACATTAACATACTTTAAACTGGTAGACCTGCAATGTAAAATAATAATTAACCCATAAATAAGCATAACAAAACTGTGTGATGTTAACTTGATATTTACAGCTGTATATCCAGTTATTTGACTCGTCTTTACTCACAATAGCAACCTGTCTACCCTCCCCTTGCATCTAGTGCAATTAAAATCCTCTGCTATATTAAAATGTGAAAAAGCAAAATCTAAAATGAATCTATTCATATCTGCAGGTTTGTTTACCTTCCCATTAGTTAATCTAAGACTTCACAGCAAGGATTCCTCAACCAAAAAACTGTCTATAAGTCAAACAACAAACAGAGGGCAAGTTCAAAGCCATTTTAATCGCATTATTAGTTTCAAAACACACATTCATGAGTCTAAACATCTCCATTGTTCAACTGCCTTTATGTTTCTTATCTTCTTTATGCAGGGTCATCGTGTATTAAAGAGCTAACATGAACATAAAGCCATTTTTCTTAATGGAAATATGCATACATATGAGAAATATCAGGTTAATTAAATGTTAACAATAGGGGTGGAATTGATTTTCCAGACCTTCCAGACCTTTCCGTTACTTAGGTTGAAGAAAAAGTTCCAAGGATATTGAATGGGTCATCTTGATATATTTCTACACAGAGCAGACAACAACAGTCCTCCTCAAAAGTAAATCCATTTCTTCATACAACGGGAGCAATGCCGACCGTGACCCCAGTGTTACCTGGTCCCAGTCCCCCTGGATCCGTCTCAACACAGAGGCTTGCAGTGCCTCATGTTGTTGGCGCAGGTTCGTCCCACATTGGCCCCCTCCAGAAGTAAATCGGAGAGCCGGTCCAAGCCCAGACAGGTGGTGAGGGGGCTAACGAGGCCATAGAGACCCCCTAGAGTGATGCTAATTGGCCAGCCAACGCACAAAAGTACCACCAGCCATATGATGCACCAGAAACACGACCCGCAACTGGCCATCCTAGTCTGGGGGAAAAAGGGAGAGTTTAGCATAAGTGATAAAATGGAGGCTGGCATGTTTTTTTTTTTGCAAAGCAAATTGCTTTCTATTCAGTTAAGCTTGGACAAAAAAAAAAAAAAAAAAAGCTTAAAGGCTTTGGGTTCTACGAAAGTGTCCCCTGGGGCAAGCAGTGCTTCATCTGTGATGTTTTGGATATTAACTTGATTGAGATGTGCACTGCTGGTGATCTGGACATCTAGAAGCGCATGTCTCAATGAGGCAGCAGCCTTTAAAAATAAATTTAAAAATCCTGGCAGGCAAGTAACTTCAAACAATCACCACCAGGCCTGTCTGCCTGTTGCGGTCAACTAACTACCAAGTGACACGGTGTTGAAGGCTGGCACTGGCACATTAGTCACCCACTAATAGCAGATCAGCAAAGATCATGCAGAAGTTTGGTAATAAAGCCTGACTGTCAACATGAATAAGGAGCAGCAGGGAATATAATGTGCAGCTATTCTGAGCTTGTGGCATTATCCACAATAAAATAAACAAAAACAAAATCAGCTTCCACTTGGGGCACCATGCAGTGTGTGCATGCAGTGCATTATTCTTGTTGCTACAGTGACGTGTAATTTGTACTCAGAATTCAGTGGTAAGGGATGGGACTAAGACCGTAAATGTGTTTGTGCGATAAATTCTAGCAGAAAATTCTGACCTAAGGCCCAGCCTTAAAGTTAAGATAGGAGAACTGATGGTTTTATGAGTGTGAAAGTGTTGTGTGCTGTCAGCCTGATTCCCTGAGATTGTTGCAGCTTTAAGACATCATGGTCAGTTTCTCCTCCCCCCCAGGCTCTGCTGCCTTGACTCTGCATAATGTGTAATTTCCTGTTGTGACACCACTGTCACGTAGGGTTGGGCAATAAATTACACATTCTACACGAGAGTGTCTCATGGTGGATCCCGTGCTCTTGGTAAACGCCCCAGAGTTTATAGAAAAAAAAAAAGAAAAAAAAGAAGAGGACTACGTTAAAATAATGTTCAAATTGCAATTATTTTAAGGCCAGAATGGCAGCGTAAACCAAAAGGCAAGATGATTCTGACTTAAAATCTAACATGTCTTTAAAATTTGCATTTTCCCTTACAGATAGACTTCTCTCAAAGGCCTTTGTGAGACTACAAAACAAGTTATTCATTGCTTTATACACTCTTATTTGAAGTAGAAAAAAAAATAAAAATTATCAAGTATCAGAGGCATTTCAAATTACAAGTCCTGGACGTGTCTGCTATACCCGTGTACCCGGTTTTACTTCATGCTGTTAGTCTTTATGATAAATGAACCCTTAGCAAAGGTTAGAAATGAGAGCTTTGCAAAGTAGCTATTAACCTATTGAATACCTGTCCTGTGAGTATAAAAGACATGTTCACCTTCAGCTGAGAAAAGGCTTCTGGAGGAATGGAGTGCCCGGTTTCTGTGTTGCGTGCTGCAAGTCTTCCAGATCCTGCTTTAGGCTTCCACGGTTGATGTGTGTGAGCAGTAGCCACATCCCACCAGTTAGTTCTAATTTACAACAACAAGGTACCACAGGCAACTGAATTGTCATGAGGCCAGCTGGAAGAAAACAGAAAGTTAACAGGAAGGCTTGACAGAGGGCGGGTATTACACAATGTAGACATTCATGTGACTCAAGGAATGCATGCTCGGTGTCATGAGATTTAAGGCTATTTGGTGACATATAAAAATATTTAAAGCATTTCTGTGTCTGCAATTATTTCTCTCTGCATTTGGAGCTGTCTTCATTCAAGCTAGTCCATCATTGCATCTTACAATTTGTCATCAACTAGGCTCTGAAAATCTTTCAGTAATTCTTAGATCCAGTGGCAGTCGACAAAGATAATCGGTATCATCTGACCTGTCATTCTAATCCTTTCCTTAGCTGCCAGAAGGGCACAGCCCGCTACTCCAGAACACTTCTGTGAACCTTTACTGGGAGTGCCCTGTGCTTAGACAATACGGGGAAAACAAAATCAGACATGGCATGACTCCACACTCGACTGAATCCAGAGAATGTGTCTCTCTACATCCATCAGTCCATGGTTCTCCAGCAGCTGTAACCAAATGTCGCAGAAACTAGCAGCTGTGCTGCTGACCCGCGCCATCAACCAGTCTGAGACACGATGGAACAATCACTAACCTCTGTAACACCATAAAGTGAGCATTTCCTTTACTACACTGCAGACTGTTGATCTCTAGAGTTGAATTAGCTAGTGGTCCTGTTCCAAAGTTAACTTTTCTATTTCTGCTTTGATGTCAACTGAAATATTTAATACAAACGAGTCAGCAAAGCTCCTTCCTAACATTGATCCTGCTGATGCTGACTGCACCGCGGAACACCATAATGTTAGCGCCGTACATAAAATGTGTAAACGTTCGAAGACTTGCAGCTGCTGGTAGGGTGAGCGTACACTCTGAAGGCAGGCTGAAATCCCCCAGCATGTAAACTGGCTCTGGGTGAAGTGACTGACCTACAAATGCAGCTTAGCATCAGCTTGTCTTGCTGGTATAGGTTGAGCAAATCAGATCTGAGTTGTGCTTAACGCAGCAGGGGAACAGATGAATGGATGGAAGTATCATGACAAAGAGATTCTTACACAGGCTCAACAGGCTGACTGTGGGCTACTTGGAAAATGAGAGCACGTGAGACAGCTATAATAAGTGGAGGGACCAGAGGATCATCAGCTGCATATTATGTAAACATGGTAAGAAAACTGATGTGGATTTCCATTTTTTTTTAATAAAGTAATGATAGTAACAATCACATGTTTTAGAAAGATAAAAAACATCATCATTAGGAACTTCTACTGGTAGAAAACCAATAAATCCACTTTATTTCCCTATAGAAGTCCAATAAAAGAAGGTCTATTGTTCCTCGGCGCTGTCCTCTCCATCACTGTCGCTGTCTCTGCCTGGATGCTCGGGCATCTTTGCGTGGTCTTCGGAGTTCTGGTCTCCTTCCCCTTCTCCTCGTTTGTTCTCCTTGTTTGGCTCAGAGCTAATCTCTGTTTGTGGGCTTTCCTGTTCCATGGGGCCTTCTTCCTGTAGCTCCTGAGAGCTACTCGGTGCGTCTTTGACCTCAGAATCTGTCTTGCTTTGTTGTGGAGGAAGAGCCAGCTTCTGCTGTTGCTGATGAGAAACCCGAGGGAAAGAGGGTAAATCAAGACATAGAGGAAACAAGTTCACAATTCATTGACAGTTTGGGGTAAAACCTATTCACATAAATTATTATTAAGAGCACAAAATGTACAGTGCTGTAATAAATCTGCCTTCTGCCACAACAGTGTTTTTTTCCCTAGCTTTATAAAGCTTCAGCATGAGTTTTAGTTGAAAGATTTTGTATTGCACACAGATGTCTGGAGGTGGAGACGTTCATGGGTTTACTGAAGAATCATTGTAATAGAATAGATTAATTGGATGTACTGGATGGAACTGATAGTTGCATTTTACATTAACGTTATTAAGTCTGTCATAGAATGTCATAGAAAAATAGTCATCATTTCTTCATTTCAGTGGTTTTTTAAAATATGTTTTTCTTTAACATCATATGAAACAAAGTGCAAATTAAAACTAATCAAAGTTAAAAAATGCTAATGTGTGGCGTAAATTTCACACCTACTTCATCAACTGCCTTACAGTTCAAAGACTGAAAATAGTAAACAACAAGAAGAACAGATGCTAAGACTTTGAATCAGCGGTAACTGTTGTATCTGTAAGTGTCTTTAACAAATGGATGGCAATACAAATTCTGAATTTACTTATTTGTATCGTAGAAATAAGATTTGTTAAGTTGTATTTTTCTTTTACCTGTCTGTACTTTTGGGAGGTCTGCATCATGTACATGTACATCTGATACACAAGGTTTGCCATTTCTGGCATGTCCTTCACAACTCGGTCAGGCTGCCCAGATGCATCTCTCTGAAATAACACAAAAAAGTTGGTTACATGGAATTCTTTCAGATTATTCTTTACCACCTGGGGAAGCATTGATCGACGGCTACACATGTCAGGAAATCACAATTTTCTTGTCCAATGCTACCGACTAAATTTCCCCACCAGCCATGACTGCTTGTACGATAATCAAACGGAGCTCAGGACGCAGTCAGTAACTCGACATCAGTATGCAGACACAGTTTTTGGAGCCTAAACTCAACCAAGCAAAGCTGAATAGCAAATTCTACTGGGCTGCTACCTTGTAAACAGATTGGAGATGCTCACAGAAGCCCTGTGGGTATCATGTCAGAGTCAATGAAACAGAGAGTTTTACTACTGAACAACTTAACTTCCTTGGTTTCACTGCAGTGCAATGCATCAGCGAATTCTCTAGAGCACTGATGTATTTCTTGAATGTGATAATTTATCTTGTATTACAATAGTCTCTACATGTTAACCGTTTGGTAAGTATGAATATGCTCTATATGAAGCAGTGGTCTTTGTAACAGCTTCCCCTTAGCACAGTTAAATGGCCCCTGATAATTCTGTTCCAGTGCTGCCAAAAAAAGCCCTTTACTTCATGTCTCTGGGTTAGCAGCAGGGGTTACTGAGTCTGGGTAGATGGGCCTAGCAGGGGCCGCATGTGTGTGCCCAAAAGACGTGTCCCTCATGGGAACGAACACTATGGAGTCAGACAAAGTGTCAGAGGCTATGGGGTAATTTCGACAGCCCTGTTGCTACATATGCCAGTCCGTGAGACACAGTGACCAGACGACAGCCGTGCCATGCTACTCGGGCTGCGTGTGGGAGGGTGCTTTTGTCTTTTGATCTTTCGAGATTTATTTGTAGCCTGGGCCTGCGTTTCCCATGCTTAGATTACACCCCGAGTTTTGCCGTAAATAGACCGGAGTTTGTGCACAGAGCCGTAGTAAGAATTGGGATCAATGAGGACTGAGTGGAAGATCCCATTAAGAGTATACAGGCAGGATTAGGCAGAGTCAGTGGGGGTGGCAGCAATGCCAGGGTGAAATCCTGCAGCAGTAAAGACGTGGGTGCTGAATTCAAACTGAGAAATCGTGGTCTTCAGTGCCTCACCATTAGCCAGATTTCAAGGAATATGAAAATAGGTTGGAGCAAGCAAGTGTGTGAGTCTAATTACCGGCTGTTCCTGGTTGTAGTACTCATGTGTTCTGATGTGCAGCTGCTGTGGTCTGGCAGTGAGCTGGTTGAAGGCTGGAGTCAGCTCGAAGCAGTTCTGGAACAGTGACACTCGGGCAAAGATGTACAGGCCCAATCTGGCTCTTGACATGGCTACCACCAGACGCCTCACATCCCTGTGGAAGAAATTAAGGAGGGCAAACAAGAAAGGGAAAAAAAAAGTTTAATTGAACTGACACAAGCGGGACAAAATTCAAAGAGAAGTGAGTGGGTGGAGAGGGAAAGTGTGAAATTGTAGAAGGAGGAGAAACTGTGTGGGGGAAAAAACAAAACCGGGATAATGGTGAATGGAGAAACAGGCAGAGTAGTGTAAGAGGAAGGGGGCTTAGTGAAAGATAAGAAGGATGAGGAGAGTGGGACAACTTCAGAAGTTCTCACTGTGAAACAAAGAATAGAAGGAAAAGGGCATGGATCAGCAGAGCAAATAAAGAGAAAAACAAGTGGGAGAGTAGAGCAAAGACTACATTTCGGCTACATATTCTTGCCATCTCGGAGAATTAAGAGATTAGAGACAGAGGAGTAATTTCTCTAAACATTGGCAAGATCCTGCTTGGCAGAAAAAGTGGTTGTATGTCACCCTACTGTCGAGGAATGCCACTGAGGGTATATTTTTCTGTTCATATAGTTTTATCTATACAGGAGTCAAAAGGTTCTATAACAATAACAAAAAAATAGCAAGCTCTGAATGGAGATTTAAAAACCATGCATGTTATAACATGCATGGTTTTTAAACATGCATGGTTTTAAACATTTTAAACATGCATGTTTTTTTTTATGTGGTCCAAAACACACACCAGCCCACTTTGTTCACTCTTTACACATACAGCACTCAATCATGTTTGTATGCATTTACCAATGCAAATGAAAACAAACTGCACATGCTAAATTAAACAAAATATGCAATATGGAGGCACCTGAGCATCTGAGAGATTAAGAGGATTAATCCTTGCAATGATGAATGTCATGAATATGCAAAAAAGAAAAAAAGGGGCTTATGGGAGCCACAATGTGGGGCAAAAGCAAGTTCTAGTGAGCGGCAGCTACTCGGAAAATTCCTGAATATATTCAGGCAAGGTGGTGCAAGCGTAAACATTTCCACAGCGCCACAGAGACAAACTACAGCAGGCTACACCAATGAATATAAGGCTGTGGAAGGCATGCACCAATCATGAAGCTCGATAGCCTGTGGACATGGCACTACCAAGAGACGCCCACCTGGGCCGTACTGTGACATGACGGGGCGAAATGGCCAAATACCACAGTGTGTGTGTGTGCGCTCTGATTAGAGTGTGTACATGTCAAAGCACGTCTGGATCTGCGTTTCCCTGTCAAAGAGTGTGACCCTGTGTGTGAGCGTGCCTGTGTGTATCAGCAGGAATGCTCCCACTGTCAAAGCAAAAGTTGGCCCATCATATGGTCAGCTGCGTCCCCCATGGCTGTCACGGCAGCCCAGTGCCACGAGGAGAGGTGCAGCCCGAGGGGAGAGTGGCTGAGGAGGATTGTGAGGGTGCAGCCATTGGTGCGCCGCAGTGATACCAGTATGGGGAAAACACAACTGACAGCACAAGACTCTCCCACGGGCCACTGCTGTCTGAACCCGTCAGCTGACCCCTAAGCACTGCTGTGGTTCACAAAGGGGGAGTTTGATCATTTTTAACTTAAAAAAAAAAGAGAAAAAGAAAAAAAGGGGGGGTTTCCCTTTTACAATTTCTTTGTTGAGCATTTATTTGCCTAAATTAGAGGTGATTTTATTGATAACATTTTTCCTCGCTTATTATAACTAGTCCGAAAATCAGCAGTTCACAATTAAAATTGGAATATATTAGTAGTATAATCTAGTGCAAATCACTGTTAACTAAGGTATAGTAATGTTTGGTAATAAATAATAGTTAATGAAGGGAAAATCTGGAATTACATTTTCAATAGTAGTTTTACACAAACATTCAGCGGATTAGATGTGATGTGCTTAAAAAAAACACTTCTATTTATTTTGACCAAAACTCTTCCAATTTGAGCAGAGAAAACTGTGTGTTCACATTGCTGCTCATCACTGAAGCTGAGTGGAAAAATAGAGCTTTGATGTTCTGCTCTATCAGAACTTTTTCTCCAGGACAGCAGAGGCTACTGAAAGCCTGTGCACTGTTCCAACACCGAGCTTTGACTGGACTGGGTGAAATATCTTGAGACAAGATCAGATGAAGGTTTCAGATAAGAGAGCAGGCGCTGCCAGCAAGATTAACTACCACTCTCTGTGGCCTACTCCGTTGTCTCAGTTACACAAAGTATTTCTTTTATCAGTGAGATACGAAAAGATTTTTTCCCCCTGCTGCTTATAGTGACAGTGCTGAATTGGTGGTGTGTAAAAAGGGGGGGGGTGGCATTTACAGACAAAAGGAACGGCCCATTATTTGCGCTGGAGTTCCAATTTGCAGGCTGTCCAAAGCTGAGATGAAGCGGTGAGCTGTGCAATTCCAGCTGCAGCTAATGTATATTCGGGCCAGAGGCCAGCACAACATGCAGAAGTACTGTGGATGAGCTCAGCTTCAGCTCTGACAATAATGCATGTGACGTATTAAGTGTAAAGAGCTCATTGGGAGCTTGTGGCTGCTGAAAAGGGAAAGGCCACAGGACCACAAATCAATTCAGTCGAATGAGGAAGGAGGCAGGAGTCATTTGGAAGAAGGCGGGGAGAGATAAGGAGACAGGGCGGGAACTCTAAGAGAATAGTGAAGTAGAGAGCATGTTAAACTTATAACTAGCTGCCTGCTGATTTTGATGACGCCTCTGATAAAGTTCATCTTTGAAAAGAACAGAGCAATTTGTTTGTTTTCAACCAAGCACCAGAACACAATGGATTTTTTTTTTAAACCAGGACAAAGCTACAGGCAGCACCAGGGGGGCTCCCATTCTCCATCAGCTTTATCCTGCACGCATCTACACTGAGCTCACACACACTTCACCGCATGTAGTCATCCCCGTCAAACTTCATTCTGTTGTTATTGGTAACAATAACAGAAAGTCTCCTGAGAGCAGCTGTCTCTGTGGAGTTAAGCGTCGGCATGTCTGCCGTGTTGTTCCCCTCAAGGTTGTTTATCTTTGATATAGCTGCTATTACATGTAATTTTATAGTAGAATGGGTGCTGGGAGCTGAGGGCTATTTTGTATCAGGTACATTTTTCTGCTTGGCATGCACTGAAATAATTACCTTAGATGTCCCACAGCTTTGGTGCGGACGAGTGAGAGGATGATGTAGTCATTCTGCTGACCCTGGAATCTGTCCACCGTTGTGATCTGTGCATACACAAAGAGACCGTTATTTGACAAACTCACCAACAGTGCAGATACCAGAGATTTGCTAACCGAGCTTCAGCTGCTACAATACTTTGAAAAGTAAATGAGTTTTGCATTGTTTGCCAGGATTAGGCTGAAACGTATTATAACAGGAGCAAGAAAACTTTATGCCTTGAATTCTTTTTCTTTCTGCTTTTTCTCTCTGTTCACTTATGAGAGGGGAACGATAAACAACGGTGCCTTCATCTTCCTGTTAGTGCCGTTATCGCCGAGGGCCACATGGGCACACAGGAGCGTTAATGCGGATTAGAGGGCATTTGCCACCACTAACCTCTTGCCACCACCCCTGAGAATTAGAAACGGAAGGGGCCACGCTGTTTGACTCAGTCTGTCGCTATTTTAGGGGGGAAAAAGACAAAAGTGTCTCTCGCAGAGATTTGATCACAAATCAAAAGGAACCATTGTCAGAAAAAGTTGCTTCTTTTTCAGTGCGATAAGCATGTAAAGAACTCCCATATATGCAAAACAGAACCGTGTGTATTGTTAAGCATGAGATAGTGAAGATTTGAGCCGAAGGCAAGAAAATGATGGGACGATAAAATGGAGTGTGGTCTCCTAAGTAGCTAAGCCTCACGTTCCGTCCTGCAAAGAAAATAAACTCTCAGTATTGCATCACAAATGCGTTCTGCAAAACAACTGGGTGGTGTGAGGCTGAGCATGAAATCTCTAAAGGACAAAACGTATGCAAGAATCTGTTGTATGTTGCTAAAACCAAGTAAAAAGGTGACCTAGTTCTGAAAATAAATGCTGCAAACTGTTTTAGAAGTCTGTTTTTCTTTGGATTCAGACTCATTTTTGATGGTTTTATCATCTCTAGTGCTGTGCCTTGCTTACAAATACATTAAAAATATATAATTCACATAAATACTTCTCAAAGATGTAGATATGAAAAAATATAAACTGATAAAAAAGTGACAATAATATAAAGAAACCATTGAATTCTGACCAAACAATTAAAAGGGGAAAAAAACAAATACAAACACTTCTGGATGTTTTCCCCACTAACGTTTACAGAAGTGAAATAAGAAGGAACTCTGGAAGCCTGAACCTACACAAGGCAGCTGAAAATACATGCTGCATAAACAAAACAGGGCCCGAGCCCTCCCGACTTGCTACTGTACACTAAACACTGCCAGGCCACATGGAGATGAACTCAAAGCTCAGCAGAAAGAGGTTGTGTCCTCTATAGATCCACACACTAGAAGGGATCAATAGGACATCTGCTTCCATGGAAAAACCACACAGGCTTGGCACTACAGTAACCAACACAAGAACCAGCCGTTCTGCAGAAATCCCCCTCTGGATGTTCAACTCCTAGTGCACCTCTAAGTGAACCTTGAACACCGCAAAAACCCCTTATGCATGAAAAGGAATATATACGAGAGAACTGTGCGTTTGAAAGTGTTAAAGACTACGCTATGGGGCTAATGGGGTGTTTATTTCTCTTTCCCCGTTTCCCCGCAGAACAGGTGCAGCACCACAGGCAAAAATATGGCGTTTTTTACTATAGCGTGCGGAATTTGTGGGCTACATTTGAGTCAAACGCACACTGTATATGTGCACGTGTCCACACACATGAAACAGGGAGTCTGCACACAGGAGGAGCTTTTGATGGGGAGTTATTCTTGGCCCTCAGTCATAGAGGCCCATATCGACAATTTCCCCAAGGGGCAGCATTTTGCATGGTGTTTAGTTATTTATGAGAAATCTTCTTGGGAGAGAATTACAGAGGTCATGTCAATGTGACACACACGTCTGTGGACAAAAGTAAGCAAACGCACACACACACACACACACACACTAAGAATGCACTGAGGGTCCGTTACACAAAGGGTTGTTTTACTGGGGTGCATTTCCTTCCACCTTGTTTTCCCTCATCAATGCAAAAACAATGACACGCATTAAGTTTACTGATAGACAACCAGGGATTGTTCCTCTCTCTTTGCAAAGTATTCTATTCGTCACGCAGGTTTTTTTTCCTCCAATTTATTTATTGCTCTTTAGGTCTGGAATGTGCTGGAGTCAGAGCTAGTTTAGTCAGTTTTCACATGACTGAGATCACAGCAATGTCTGGACTCAGCTCTATGTGCCTCTCATGACTTCATATCTGTAATGAATGAATTAATAACTAAATCCACTGTGCTAGGAATTGGTACGGCATGTTTCACACCCAACACCTTCTGCTGAGGCGTTTCATTTTTAATGAAAGATTTTGTGTTTGCGATTTCATGGACAAGACAAGCAGAAATGTTTATTGAAGCCTTAAACTGGAAGATTTTGGCTGCGGATTCATCCCTCTTTGCAGCTGAAATACAGTTAAATACACTTTTCTTGTATTCAGTATTGGGATGCATTTCAGTTTTGTGAAATGGAAGTAGTCTTTAAGGTTAAAAGAAAATATCTCCGAGGGGAAACCTTTAAGCTCCAACGTGCTTAAAATCACAAAACGTTATCCATGCTGTGGGCGTCAGTATAGCAGTTTTTTGAGATTCACATAAACCTCCAGCTAGCTTGTGTCATGTTGATACTTTGACTGGTGCTAACTGGCCCTCCTCTCCTTTTGTGTCTAATTAAAGCCATCAGGGTAAAGTGGGATGGCTGTTGACATTTGCTTGGTTTTAGCTTTTGTGACACATTGTCAGACAAACTGGACCCTCTGCATGTGACCTTTCAGCTGCTCAGCATTTTCCCACAACAGTCCTCGTTTTCTTTCTCATCACGGTTGCTCTCTGCCCATCTCTCATTTCAGCAAATCCAGCAGCCTGTCACTCCTGTCACTTTATCACAGGGCAAGCATTCTGACAGAACATAATGAATGATGCTTTTTGCCTTTACACTGCAGGACATTTTACATGGCCAAGCACATTTACTGTCTTGCTGTCAGAATGGAGAAAATATCTCAAGACAAAACAAAGAGGTACAACAAGAGAGAATCAGAAAACACTCCTGCCATGAAGCTGGTAAAACCACTAAATTGGAAGTGCAGTAATACATTACTCCAAGCTTGTTTTTGCATGGCCTCCAATTTTATAAGCACATTTTTAATTCTGATCAAACAAAAAACTAAACAGTAAGGTTTGCCTAATACTGGGGAGGGGAAACAAGTTTGTAGTGAGTTTATGGCAGAATGAGTCAGATCTGTTTATGTGAATGATTTTCATAGTGATAGATTTAAGATATTCTTCAAGTGAAATCGCTTAAATGCAGACCGTTGAATTGATCAAATGTCAGCTATTCCTTCATAATGTAGTCTGATAATTTTATCATTTAATCCTCAAATGCATACCAACTAGTAGATTTGTCCAGTTCAGTCGGTGCATAAGCCTGTCCTACTCCACACAATCCCACAGTCTTTGAACTTTACAAGTTTTTCATGTTTAAAGAGGCATAGAGAGGAAAACCTTTCCCAGCAAAATGAGGGACAAATGTCTTTGGATTATTGTACATAATAATACATCAGATATTTGTGCTGGACAGGAGATGTCTTTGGCTCTTTCACTTGCTCTATATTTCTGTGGTACTCATTGGGGAACTTTGGAATTATGAAGAGAAACGGCATTAAATTAACAAAAACATTTTTCTACATATTGTAAATGTTAAATGGGCTGTACTTTAAAGTCATGGTGATGGAAAAGGACAGAAAAAATACTTTATCCAATTTCAAGTAAGCTGGTAGTTTGAAGATTTTGTCCCACTGTTTCTGAAAGTGGCTGGCTGAATTGTTCAAAAGGGCTCAAAAGGCTTTTCATGCAACCAGAAGATAACAGCAGCATGTAGAACGTCTGGATGCATATGCAACATGTCCAAACTGAGCCATTTCCAGAATAGTGACCTTCTGCTTCTACGGCATGATGACAGTTACAATAATGGGTCATAAAAAACATTTAAACCATTCAATCGTGCAAAATTTTGGAATGCCTAAAATCTCTGTGACCTCAGGAGGGTGAGACCAAGTGTGGGTAAAAGCTGTCCAAGCAGAACAGGGATGGGCCATTCTGACTTAACATGATGTAGAGAGAGAATGAATGCATCTCAGGAGTATATTTAAGGCCTGAAAAGTACAGAATTTAAATGTTTGCCGCATAAGACACATTTTCCACCACACACTGTAGGGAGGTATGCAGCTGGCTGCTAAGTAGAGAAGTGTCCTGCTCCATTTGGTCTCATGACCTGTAGCTGCTCCAACGGTCTCATGATTCATCGCAGCTGGACAATGAAGCCATGGTTTAAAATGTTCCTGTAACTGTGCAAATTGAATTAAGTTTCTCTATGACACATATTCCACCACCAACAGGAATCAGTGAAATTCTCCAAAAAGTTTTATACTGACATATGTAACAGCACAAGTGAAAATGGGGAGGTAAAATGCTCTCACATGTACTTAAACTGCATGTGTATTTTATGTGTCAACGTGTGTGTGTGTGTGTGTGTGTGTGTATTAGTGGCTCTGGGAAGCAGAAACACAAAGTCTAGAGAGAATTGGAAGCTGTGAATTTCTCTCACTGCAATGGAGGATGAGGGGTTGTGCACTGACTGTAGCTGACATCTGGGGGTGTGAAGAAACTGTGGGTACATCTTATGCTCTGCATCAGTTTCCACTTAACTAAACTGAATCCTTCACACATACATGAGTTAAAATCGTCTGCAGGGACAGCTGATTCCTTCCCAACAGTGGGGAGGAAATATGTCCCCTTTGAATTATATTACACGTGGAATCTGGTGTGTTACATCATTGCTTCCCAGCATGTGAAGCAGTGCAGGATTTGCTGGTGAAAATCACCCACAACTCTACTTAAAAATCGTACAATCAGGCTGAATAATTAATACAATGTTAAACACTTCAGCCACTTTACTTAAATTGACGAATTAGTACATTTCAGATTGCAGGACCACACTCACACTTTCTTCATAAAAGGCAATCACTTGTATGCCCTCTATGCCTCCTGACAGAATACATACTGGGACAGAAAAGATGTACTGGTCTGTGCAACAGCTGTTGGTACAGTCAGGTACCGTTTGTACTTATCTATTCTTATGTGCTCTTACCTTGTTAGGCTGTCCAAAGTATGGATTTCCAGCAGAGCGTTGGTTGATGACGTCTCTGATCAGGTGTTTTTGTCCATTGTAGGTAGTCAGAATGCTGATGCGGTCGGCAGGGTACCCCAGCAGACGCATGTACATGAAGAGAGCCACACAGTACTCTGCCTCTGCCAAATTCTTCACAAAGAGGGAGAGGGAGATGTGGTGAGAATAACAGAGGACTGTCCTTCATGAATACAAAGGCCATGACCCGAGTCTGGTGAAAAGACGCACTTGATGAGTAGGAAATCACGATGTGTGATTCATGCCTTCAAAACCGAGAAGGATTTGAATCTCAAATAATTGATGTTATTGTGGAAAATAAACAAGCTGAATTGCCCAGACAAAAGTGTCTTCCTTTCAACTGGAACACCCACAGCTGCCTGCTTTTCCCTTCTCCAAGCGCTCATCTTGCAATACCCCTTTGTCACCTGTCAAGCGCTTATCTTGTCAGTCACATAAAAGCACATTCATGCATCAACAGAGTCCTAATTGGGTTGGAATTAACTGATAGTGTAGCTCGACAGATGGGGAAAATGTCTCATTCTTAAAGCCCGATAACAGCAGTAAGGATGACTGGCACGTTTCTGCAGTCCCTGTGATCAAAACGGGAACAGAACATTGTGTTTTTAGGAATATAAGATGAAAACCATAAATCATATCTTTCTTCTGATGTTTAAAAATGTATATTCGACGTACTAATAAAGTGTTGGAACATAATACTTTTTTCCCCTCTCATTCTGAGTACCAAATCTCCAGGGTCTGGGTATAAATATGAAGAAAATGGTACATTCACATACTTTCCAAACAACAAATTTTTCAGCTTTGTGCATCTCTGCTCAGGAAGAGTCTCTGCCCTTCAAATGTGACTAAAAAATACAGAATAGACACAAGCCTGCACAATGCATTATTCATCCAGTTTCAATTAGATGTGAACAGTCTCCCATCGTTGCCAGCAATTTATGCGGCTTCATCAACCGTTTCTGATCAAGCTGCATAGGAATCAACACATCAAAACAATCACAACCCTGTTTCCCGTTACCTGTATCCAAAAGGCATGAAATGCATCCGTTCAATAAACTTCAACACTTTTTAAGGCAATATAATCAACAGAGGGAATGGGAGCGAATAGCGACAACATTTAATGATTGTTGAAGATATTTATACTGTGTGCCAACATTACCTGCTCATTAGTGACAAAATGAAAAGCAATCTCGGAAGTCATTAGTAACACTTTATAGCCTTATCTTTTTTACTTTGGATGCCCTTTAGCAACCCCCCAAAAAAAAAACACTTAATGAAAATCTTAAATATACATTTTAGCGATAATGAATAAAAATAAACGGTAGTGATTTACATAAACCTTTTCCCAGCCTGTTGCACGAACATTAGGATAACATAAGATGAACTCTGGCTGACATATCCCACTTTGTTTGCCTCAAATGCACGTTGAACTACATATGATCTAATGTCCTAACAGTCAGTAGAAGTTAGTAACCATAACAACGAGGTCAAACCTAAGCCACTGTAGTTTGAGCCAGTGGCCTGAGGCAGCATAAGAACTGGAAAGGATGAGGAAAATAAAGAAAAAAAACAGAGAAAGTTACACAATGTCGTACAGATACAAGCTCACTGAGAGTGACAAATCTAGACTACCTGCAAGTCCACTGAGCCAGTGGCTCTGGTGCAATTTACCATGAAAGAATGGGTAACAAATGTCTGAGCCTACATGATAGAGGCAATTTTTGAACAGCAGAAGTGGATTTAGACGTGCATCCTACTGTTCAGGAGCTGTTTGACAACAGTCAAGTGTTATCAACAGTGAGAGTTAATATGGAAAGTGCTTTAGTAAATGAGGCGAAGTAGTAATGACAGACCATTGCTCCATGGGTTCTCTATGAGCACATATGCATTTTGTGGATTTGTTCACAGTTGCAGTGTAAACGCACCGCAGAGGCAGTGTTTGTTCAGCTGCAAGATGGGTTCAGAAAGCAGGGGATACGATCCCTTTTTTCAATGGCTCTCCTCTGTTTCCTTGGAAAGTTAATGTGTGTGCTCATGAGCATGTGTCAGGCTGAGAAAGTGAGCCCAGTCATTCCCCTAGAGGAGCCTGAAAATGGCAACAAGCAAATGGAGTTGAGGTTCATGTGACCTGATGCCTTGAGAAGTGTGCATGGTCTGGATTTAAGAACAATAGGGAGCTTCAGGGCCATGAGCATGCAGCTGCACTGCTCAGGAAGTAAAGTGATACGTTCACACAGGTTCAAATCCAGAGGCTGACGCCATAGATTTTGTGCTTTAATCTTTTGATGTGTTGTGTTTGAATTTGGTGCAGTTAATTTTTTATTACCTCCAAAATGTGTAGTTTTAGGAAATGTTATGCTCATCACAAACCAAATGTCATCTCTTTAACAATTCTAGAATAAAGATGGTTAATATTTAAAACACTGTTTTCAAGCACAAATTCCAACAAAACAACACGCTAGTTTGGCTGCAACATATGCCACTAACATTTGCTCTCCTGTGCTGGTGTGGTGCAAAAGCAAACAACCTTTTCAACCCAGCCCCCCCTCCATCCGCCCACACACTGTCTTGGAGTCTCAGCAATGTCATGATGAAACACAATCTGGCTCCTGGTGTGAAGGACAAACCCGCTGGTCTGAGCTCGGCAGCCTGTGTTAGACGCAGACTAAGCAGGGTGATGAATTTATCATATGGGCTGGTAGCTAAACCACAGAAATTTAAACATTGATGAACCGCTGTACAGTAACCAATTTAGCAGAAATAGAAGACAGGATGTATGTGGTTCTCCGCTCTGGAGAACCACGTACAAGAGTTTTTCTCTTGGTGAAGGACAATAGAAATTCCATGAGGAAAGTCAGAAACATTGTGTAATGTAGCCTGTTTTTCCAGATACTGGAAAGAATACTGATGCCGATCATATCCATTAGTGAAAAGATTACATTTTTCTGGGATCTTCAGCATTGCATCCGTACGATCTTTTCAGTGCTTCATTAACAGGGGCAAATATCAGTATGTTCCCAAACTTGAATTTTTACGATTCACAAGTCTGTACATGTTGAGAAATTAATACCAGTAATTAAAGTGATGACATGCAGTCACTCACACATTGATTACTTTTCCATGAATATAAGTGAGTAAAAAGAAAGAAAGAAACTGGCTTAAATTCTTGGCCATCGCAAGAGCATTTCCAGTAGTACAGATAATAAGGGGTTTCAGCTTTTTCTTAGAAGACTAATAAATTATTATTATTATTAATAATAATAATAATAATACTACTAATAATAATAATTCTAGAATGACTTATGGGGAGACGCAGATTCAAGAGCTAAAAAGACTAGTTCAGTTATTCAAGCTCATAAGATTGTCCTGCACTGGAAGATCCAGAATTAAAAAAGAATAACTTGTTCTTCGCTCTAAATTAAGGAATGCCTTTAAACATGAGAGAAACAGCAGTAGATTGAGCATTTTATTTGCCACTTGTGCAAAACTGGACAGCAGGTGTTATCCCACACTCCTGACAGTCTCAATTAGTGTGCAGAGAACCATCTCAGCACTGTCACTGCTGTAAAATAAGCCACAGTGCAACAGGAAGATTGCAACACAGTGAGCGTTTTTCTTGATTGCGCATAGCTGCAACATCTGTGTATCCACTGCTGCTGTGCAGCAAGTCCCTGCATAGTTGTTTTTAAAACCAAGGATGCCCTCTGGCTCAAGTCAGGGCTAAAGCGAGTGCCTGGTGCAGCCAAGATTTCTTTTTTCTTTCTCATTTGTTATAACATGAGCTGAAATACAGTCTGAAACTGCAGGAGGAGCTGACAGGGATTGTTTTCTTATATTGAGATGCTATATTCACATCAAAATTATTAAAACAATAAAAAAAATGCACAAACGAACGTAACAAAGCACTTGTTTGGTTCCCATTAGTCTTCCCAATGACACAATTCCAACACTTTATGTAAAAGTGTTATATCTGTGTTTAATGCACATTAAAAAAATAGAGAAAGGAAAATAATTTGATAAGGGTTCGAGCAACATCTGCTCTCTTTGTCAAGCCACAGCGTTGTTCAGTTATCAAGCTTGCACAGAGTATAATTAGAATGAGGAATAAAAACCTGAAACTGAAATGTCTTCACAATAAATTATTCATGACAACACAAGTTTTTAGTGTAATACTGACCTGATAAAAATAGGGGTTTGGCTCAGATTCTCCCACCCCATTGAAGTCCTCGACGTTAATTAGCTGGAAGTCGAAGGTGAGGCCGGGGTTTGGCACCTGGAACTCAGGAAGTTGCTGCACATGAGGCAGGTTCCCAAGGTGTTTGTACCGCCAGTTGTACAAGTTACAGAGGCTGTGAAAACCAGACAGGGACCGGTCAAACTGTGCTGCTTTTGCTTTCCTTTTTTTAAGGACAGATGTCTATCAAAATGTTGACTAACCTTGCGCGGGCGCGGCCCTGTGCATCCAAGTCGATGGTGGGCACCCCGAGGCGCACAAATCGGGTGAACAGAGACTGCTCCATGTTGGAATACTTCTGAAATGCCATGTTCTTAATGACTGGGGGCAGCTGGTGGTGGTCTCCAATCATGATCCAACGCTTTAGCCTGCTGTAACCATCCGCTGGGTTCTAGAGAAAAGGTCATAGAAGAGGTGAGAACACTAGGTTCAATTAACAAACATTATCTAAAGATATGTATGTGTATCTGCTAAGAAAATTGGACACACTTCCTGATTCACAATATGTCAATATATGTGACCTGATTAGGTTTTTGTCAATGACTGTTCATGGCCAATTGCACTGCCAGCTGAAACTGTAGCCTTCAATATCCATTTTAAATATTACACATAGAATGTTAGTGTATGGAAAGGGTTACCTGTAACAGCAGAGGGATGAACGTCTCGATCTCGAGGATTTGTGCAGCTTCTTCCATCAGGATGTTGTCATACTTTAATTGACAATAAGTAAGTTGGTTTAAATACAAAAATGAACTGCAGAGAAACTGGTACTGTGTGGTCTTTGTGTCCAATAAGAAACGTCTACCTTAAATCCGAGCTCCACCAGGTCGTGGCGTTTGAGGGCAGCATGCGTGCAAGTCATAGCGATGATCTTTGCCTCTTTCACAAGGAGATACTTAGAGCGGTCCAGTCCACTCCTCAGCAGTTCGAAGGCCCTAAATTCCTATGTGAGGAGCAGCCAGAGGATGCGAGGATCAGTTTTCCACACGAAAGCTGGTTTGAAGCCAAAAGCTAACTTAAAAAAAAGAAGTTATTTCCGTTTTGACAGGTGAAGCTCCGACTGGCCTGAGACACGGGTCAGATCAGAACTAACTCTTTTGAGAGCAGGTTACAGGACTGCTGACATCAGTGGCTGGTAGTGGGGTATAACTGCAGTGTTTATACAAACATAAATATTGACATAATAAATAGTCAAATAAAAAGTGACAATGCTTGGATTTGTGAGGATAAAATGTCTCTTTCCATTGTGGTCCACTTTAGATACGCATTTTCTCTGTAGATCAAAAGTGCTGCTAGATTAACATGCTACTAGTGATAAGAATCGTTCCTCTGAACCTCAGAAAAATTATCAGCAGCTCCGTTTGTGTACCTGAGAACCTTTGATATGATGCGAGCGCCACTATCGGCATCTCTTTAATATTACTGCTGCACAAGTAAGTGGAGATGGAGCTGAAAGAGCAAATACCTAAAGGCAAATAAATTGACACTGCCTTCTGCAGTCTGTTCACATCCGAGCACCATTTCCCTCTCAGTGCATGCAACTAGGCCTAAAAAGAATTCCCGGGCAAACAAACAGAACAAACTACGTTCTAATCCAGCCGCTATCAACTTTATTCCTTCATTTTACTTTCATTAGTCTCCTGTCTTCTGTGGTGCATTAACAAGGTGGCCAGCTTATCGGTAGAGGTCTGCGCTGGGTGCAGTTCTTTTGTTCCATTCCTGCAGCTTGGGGAACACTGTGCTTTGTACAGCACTGGAAATGCCAAGGACAGTTTTTGAAACAATACACAAATCAGCTCACTTGCTGATATCACTGAATTAGAGAATGCTGTGAGGGAAGCACTGAAGGGGGGGGCATGGGTAAACAGGCTATTTTCAGGTTGCTACACAAGCTGTGTAGAAGCAGGCATGGAAAGAGGATGGAAGAGGTAAACTTAGACAGCTCTGGGGTGTAAATATTTGATGAGATACTATTTTAGCATTAATATTAAACCAATCAAAACATGCAATATTGATAAGGTCTATTTTTAATGCCTATGGCTTTAGAGTGAATGAAGTGTCAAATCAAGATGGTGAGAATGTGCAGACATTGACAGGAGGGGGAGGAAGAAAAAAAAAAAATTAAGCCATGCTGAAAACACACCGGGGAGCTGCAGAGGAGTTAGAGTCTATACACAAACCCAGGAGGCACATTGTGTCTCAGTCTGTGTGATGAGCAACGGATTCGAAGAGTATTCCTGTGACAGCTTACCCGGAGCTGCTTTCACTTTTGAAAGGTAGACAGATAAGCAACACCAGCAAGTCTGTGCTTTTTCTTTTTTTTTTTCTACCTTGCACCACATTCAGCGGCACCTCTTAATGGCTGTGCAGATTTCACTGCAGCATGGGTGAGGCTGAGGGAGGAGGGAGAGGTGCGGTGATGCAGTGATACAGAGGCCAGCCAGATAAATCAAGGTCACCACATGTGTCGGGATATTACCTTCGGCCAATAACTTCTTTATTGCTTTTTGGAGACCATCTTGGTGTTCCCATAAATCTGAAAGTTTTTTATTTTACTATCCCCACAGAGACGGATGATGTACTGAGGAGAATGATAACACTCAGCCGTGTGTATGCGAGTATGGAAACTAAGCAGAGAAAAACAAATCAAAAGCGTCTTGATCGCTTTGTTTACCTAATGCTGAGCAACTTTGTATAATCTGCATCAGGATTGTTACGACTGAGACTACACAGACACGTTCACAATGAGGAAGCGGCCGGTAGCACTCTGCATCACTCTTTCGGTCTGTTGTCCAGGACAGCAGCTACTCATGTAACATCTGGACATAAATGACTGGTATTTAGAGAAAAGGATCAACGACAGCTGGCAGAGCTTTAGTGCATTTGAGAAATACAAATACAAGGGGAGTAAGTTTTTTTCCCCCCAACTTTAGATGAAACAACAAGTGGTCTATAAATAAATTCCCTTTGCCTTATTCCACTCAGACAACTCTTCATAACCCACTGAGCAGTGAGGAAACTTGTGAACTCTGTATTTGGGTGACCCCCTTACCTCCAACTGGGTGAATATTTTCTTGATGTGGCGGTAGCAGCCCTCTGCTATATCCATGTCCTCCTCATATGACCGGCCTTTGAACACAGGCTGAGGTGCATTGGAAAAGTACTTGTGAAAGGGAAAGTGAGCAGCAACAGCCTCCACCTCCACTTGCTTGCCCTGTTTAGGCTTGACTTTGCTCATGTACTCCTCCCAGCGAGATATTACCTGTAGTAAGAAAAAGGCACAGCCTCATTTTAACTCATTTTTGCGTATTTTCCCTAATACTAACAGGCCTACAGGGGACAGAATTGTTTTCATGGTCATTTTCTAATTGCAATGCACTGGGTTTTTTATGGCTCTGCCAAGCCTAACTGGGACGGCATATATTTTTCCTTTAATAATTTGAATATTAAAAGCCCCCTTTACACACAACTGAACAAATGAGACAAGATAGGCTCAACCTTACAAAGGTTCCCCTGCTGAGAAGCTAATAAACCAGCTTCAACCAAACAGCAGGACAGCCTAGTTCTAAAAATATTCTTGTAAAAAAACAACTTAAAGTAATGCACTAATGAGAGTGCTTCAGGACTCAGTTTATAGGATATGAATTATCAGCCTGTAACTGCCGGCACGCTGATTCCATCATGCAAAAACTTAAGCTCATGTAAATACACCCCATGCTGATGGACCTCGTACAGAATGGTTATTGTCAAAGCTAGACCACTCAGCACAACCTTTTTAAAGGTGGCGTATTCATTCTAACACCAGGGAAGCACACATATTCCCTCTGAAGCCCCAGATATGACAACATGAACTGTATCAGACAGAACTGGAGCTCAGGTACTATGTCACAAACAATCATCTTCTATAAGATGCAGTTTAGACTACGATCACAACCAGGATGATTTAAACGACATTTACTATTTTTAACAGTTCCAAATAGGTTAATGCTCTTACTCTAAATGACACCTTACCTGACTGCATTAAACTTATTTTTGTCAGAACACTTCTTGTGAAGCAATGAAGAGAGAGACAATAATTGCCTGCAGTGGCATTTCTCTCTGAGTTTAAGGGGTACGGTACTAATGCAGCAATGGTGTGTGAGAATGTTTTAAAGTTTTCATATTCAGAACAAACTGCAAAGCGAGTGTAGAGAATGGAAATGTCAGCGATGTTAGCTTTTGATTGGCATGAGAGGCCTGAGAAATAAAGGACGGACATTACGGAAATCCATTCATTCACATTTCTGCAAAATATCATCTAGGCCCTTTGGTTCTGACCATCAATATCAAAAGCCAATGGAAAATTTCAAAGATGTCTTGTTGTCAACAGGGAAATGCAGAAAATTTGTTCATTAAACAACCAAATACAATCAAGTGACACATTTGGACTTTTCAATAAGATAAGATTACATAAAATAAAAAAATTACTTGAAATTTAAACTCTGTTAAACTGATAAACTTAATTTAAAAAAAAACACACACTTTTAGTTCAAATCTTACCTGGTAGAGGTAAAAGTGACCTGCTGTCTCACAGGTGTAAGACACATCTCCAGGGACATCCAAACTTTCCTGAAATCGTCCCACCTCTTTAAGAAGCTCCAATCTTCTAGCTAAAACATAGTTCACTCTGCCATATCTGGAGGGGAAACAACAGTGAACAGTTAATGTTTTCATCCGAGGGGGATCTGCATTGGTCGTTATACAAAAATGTATTAAATGGGGGGGGGACATAAATTAATAAATGTATTAAATAAAAAAAATATATTCATATATATAGATATAGATGTATTAATACATTTATCAATTTATTTGTAGACATAAATACATATTCATAGATGGATTTCAGATAACACAAAGATACTGTAAAAAACAACCATTAAGGAGCACACGGTTTTATATTTTGGATCATGTTGAACAGGTAAACATTTCACACACACAACACACACAGACAGGAAGTAGGCGGGGTCATGGCCTAATACTAGAGGTGAACGCTATTTTTAAACCCTCTCCAAACACTCAGTCAGCAGATGACTCAAAGAGGATCTCGGTGCTCTTCCTGTTTGATTGCACCAACATTTTTTATGGGTAGTGACCTTGCTTCGCTGAGTGACACATCAGTTGGTTCACTGTCTAAAACTGAAAAAGATAGAATGGATACTGAAGGATCTACCAGCTGAAATAGAACTAAAGAAAACATATGCCTTCCTCTTGATCTACTTTCAAAATCACATTTTTAAAAGTTTATTATGAAACACCATGAGGAATAGTTCATTAATGCCTAGCTTACCCTTTGTTAGGCATTCACCAAAGCACTGCCATTCTTTTCCCCCCATCTATAGTGTTAATTAAAACACCCGCTCTCTTCTCTTGCTGCTGTGGGATGGAGGAAGTGTGGACTCTGCATGTTGTTAAGAGCCAGCAGGCTGGGGAGGAACACATTAAATGCTGCTAGCTAAAGCTCTTTCTTTTATGTCTGTGTTGCTGCATAATTTAGGAAGCAAAGACTTTTCTTTCATGTGCAGACCGAAGTTTTAGCACAACGCTGCTCATACAACGGTCATACTGAGCGGTAGTAAGACGGAGGGTACAGTTAATGAGAAACATGTAGAGACCTTCACATCCTCACATCCTCAGGAAACTTTAAATAGTGAGGGCATACAAACTTTATTAATATCCAATGGCACAGAGCTATTTATATTCAGAGCTAGCTGAGAATCTTGTCTAGTAAAAAATAAAAAAGATGGTTCTGATTGAAGCATTCAGAGATGATGTTAAATATAGTAGCAGCCAGTAGTGCTGCAAATGTTTTGGGTATCTTTAGATAGTTGAGTCGTCCTTCGTTCAGTCATGAGTGCTCATGCCCAATCTTTCTCCATCTAACTGTGTCTCAGTACCCAAGAGTGAAGACTGAGTCACTATCCTCTTTCTAAGGCATTTAATATACAGACACACACACGCAGGCACGCACACACACACACACAAATACACACATTTAAAACTGAGGTTCCCTCTTCATCCTTAAATGTTCATAAAGTGTTTTTATTCATGTAATTATCAGTTTATCAATTAATTTAACCATCCAATCAGAAGGATGAAAATGGATCCCTCTGACTTTGTGTGTCTGGGAGGTAGGAAGCAGACATTGCCCCTGCTTTCTGACCCAGGTTACAAAGGTCTGAGGTAATTTTGCTTAAACTTTGAACGGATTACAAGCAGGGCTATTTGCTACAGCTTTTTTCATTTTCAGAAACAAAATACTCAAAATATGACTGACATTACTCACGATGATAACCTGCTCTAAAACAAGTCTGAATTAAATTTTCCAGAATGATTGATTTTTGCGGCTTTCTAAATTGTTTTAAGAATCGGGCGCACTTTGGGTGCGAAAACTGCACAGTTCCCCTTTCACTTATGGAAAGGTTTGAGAATCCAGGGATGCCTACTGAAGACAAACCGGGTCTATGGCCGGGTGCATGAGGGTATCAAGTAACCCTGTCACCGTGTTGGCTCAGACTCATTAAGTACATGGGCAGCTGCTTTTTTTGTGTGTGTGTGTGTGTGTGTGTGTGTGTGTGTGTGTGAAGCATAGTCAATTCATCCACTGAATGCATTTCGCACATGAGTGTGTGAGTTCATGCCATCTGGGTTTTCACATGTGCTTTTCTGTTTGTTTTGACACATCAGTGTGTGTGAGTGCTCTATCCACCCGTTGTCTGCTACCCTCACCTGCTGAAGTCCTTCTCAGTTTCCAGCTCTTCTTCTCCATGGCCGAGACGCAGAAGATGGCGTTCGTCTATGTCCAGGGCCATAATCTTTTCAAACAGCTGGTTCAGGGCCTGGTGTGGGATGAACAATAAACATAGTCAGACATGGGTTGTTTTTCCTCTGACAAGCATGTCTGATGTATGTTTTGAGGTAAATATGTTACTATAAAGTTCTATGCTCTAAAAGTTCTATGATTAGCTAGTGTTGGGAATATAAATGGCAGGGGGGAGGTTGTTGCAAGAGAATAATAATTACATTACTATGCTGCATGTGGATAAGATTCCCTCTGGCAACCACTGGTGTAAAACAACAGCAGATTACTTTATGATTAAGTACTAAGAGGGATGACTGGGACACAAGGGAGCTTAGATTTGAATTTTCTCCCATGGTAAATGTGAGTGCTGCTTGATTAATCAGAAGTTCTGAGCACAAGCTGCAAATTCTCTGGCCAACTTCAATGTTATTTCACCAAAGTGTAAGGGAAACTTTTTCAGTGTTCTTGTTTTTGTGTAAAACGTGCGTGGGCATGTTGACCTGGTTAGAGTGTGTGACGATGAGAGTCCTCTGCTCAGGGAAGTTGTGATAGAGGTTTGAGATGATCTGAACAGCAACATCTGTCTTTCCAGTGCCGGGTGGCCCAACAACCTGGATGCAGATTTGGAAGAAGGCGTCATGAAGAGAAGGAGAAACGGGGGATGAAAGAGTCTTATAAGCTACTTTGTCATCGTACAGTAGATCTACCTTTGCAGTTTTTCATGTCCCTTGACATTTTTTCTTTAACAAATCAGGCCACTGTTAAAAGAATTTCAGAAGGAGTCCCAACACTTTGCTACAAGCCATCTGTGTGGAAGAAGCTGTTCAGGTTGGATGACAACAAAATCTTTTTTTGTTGTGCAATGCAGAAAGCTAAAGCTGCACACACCATCTACACAGGGAAACCTGGTGGTGTTCTTACTATACAAATATTTGTGCCATTTCACCTCTGTGTGCAAGTCACCATGATAATAAGCCCAGGCTTCATTTACTCATCTAAAGAGAGGGAGGTAGATTGAGTGGTTATATCTAATTTACTAAATAAATATTCATGAAACAGGTTGGTCTGATTTAAGGTCTCTCAGGTGAGTAATATTGTCTAAAAATAGTGGGCATAATTACATAATTCTGCATAAATTAGGACATAATCAGCTCCTCGGTTTACCCACGTGAAAGTTATTTAAACCATAAGGTAGTATGTGCTTGTTATGGCTGCTAATGAGTTTGAAATATGTCAAGACAGAATGTTAGATGGGGTGGTGGAAGGGACGGATAAAAGCATGCACACAGAGTTGTTTTATGACACTGATGATAGCTGCACAAGTGAGTAAGTAGGTGCCTTATTTAACGCAGCAAGCTGCATAATAAATACCTCAGATGCTGATGCTAGCTTTCATTTACCACATGAACAGTGCTTTTGTCAAAACAGTAAGTCGCACTGCTGATATGAGAGCTGGTGGATCAGTGGATTTAACTGCTATGACCTTTTATGTCTATTTTCTGGATTTTATTATTTTTTTCCCCACCGCACAACCTTGGCCAATGGAAATTTTTTGCAAATAAAAATCCAAATTCCACTCCCCCATTTCTTATCAACTCTTATTCAATGTTAAGACTTAGGTGAGCTTCTTGTACAGTAATTATAACATCCTTACCATGGTAAGACCTGGCTGCATTCCAGCTCGAATGGCTTCAATCTGAGTTGGAGTGAACTGAATAGTATTCCTGAAAGAAATTTACAATGAAGTTGTTCAAAAGTCATCTGAAATATTGGATGTGTAGATAGATAGAATGTACAATTTTGTTTGTTTTTATTAAAAATGTGAAGATGTGCAGTTACATTGAAACTACCTTTAAAGAGTGGTGAATTTATTAACCCCTGTATAAGAAATAAGACTAACCGTTTGGGCTGGTTGTAAGGGTATGGTCCACGGTTAGGGGTGACGTAAGGCTGAACAATTAAGGTTTTATCTTCCTCTTTGTCCTTAATTTCTTCATCAGCCTTCCTCTTCTTCCCTTTGTCTGGTTTATTTGTGATGGGAAAGGTGATTCTGTTTAACCAAAGAGAAATAAAAAGTCAACATATATCTTTATGAACATGCGGATACACACATAAATATAAAATATACGTTACGCACACAAACACATATGTAGTTGGACTTAAGCTTTTCACCTGAAAGGAGGGACTTGCAGCTCTGGGTTCTCTTCCATGACCTTTATGGTGTTACCAGGGAAACAAGACCGCAAGTGGTCCAGCGACAGAAAGGTGTCATTGAAGTCCAAAGCAGAGATCTGATTTGGCATCTTGGAATAGTGAGCGCTGCCTGGGTCACCATAGCCTAGGATAATGTCATGAAGCCAGTCTGGGACAACACACTCTGTGTTCATCAGGTGCCTGATGGTCTCCAGCACTGCCTAAAACAGGAATAACATACATATCAAATTAAGATTGTGTATAAATTGAGGGTGGGGGGGGGGAGGGAATCTAATAATAAGTTCATTAGGAAACAAACAAGATGCTCTGGCCGCAGCCTAACACATTATTACAGCTGGTGCTTATAGAAGCAGGGCTGAAGGTCTCAAATGAAAACAAAGAAATACAAGTATAGCTTTAATTTCAAGTCCAAACCTTGAAATTATTCTCCTTGGGTTTGCGCCTCATGATGATGTTGAAAGTGTCGTACGGGTCTTCTGTGCCACTCTGAATACTGCTGGTCATGTCCTGCTGGTACTGGTTTGGGTCTAGCCACACACGGAATGTTCTGGTGTCCCCTCGCAGCTTCGGCTTTGGTTCAGGTCCTAGAACACACATGCAGGAATATTTACTATACCACAGAAATAACCAAATAAAAATTAGGACAGTAAACTACATCTAAATTAGGTCATTCTTGGATGAGAAGTCCACATTTACACTACTGACAGTAAAACAAAAAATATATATAGAACTCTTCATGGACAGAGATTTAAATGTTGGTGCAGTGACTTGAGGGCTATTCCCACAGGGAGCCCATATGATGCACAAAGTGCAGCTTTAACCGACATATAAACAAATTCTGTGCGGCGCTGCAAGGCAAAGAGCAGGAAAATGTAACTAATCCTGCCTGCTTCTGTTGTTTGTGCTCATAAGCACTGTTATGTGGTCATGTCTACAGATCTTCTTTCTAAAAGGAGTGTGGTGATAGCTCTAAAAGCTAGACCCTTAATACAATGCAACAACGTGGAAAGCCACGCCAAGGTCTGTGAGCAGTTATTACTGCTGCGCCCCATTATTCAGAGGTGTTATAAAATCGATGCATGACGGGAGAATCGTTACTATTCTCAGACATGAAAATGTGCACATTTATCAAATCATATTTATTTGAACACTATAACATTATAATAATTGTTTATGTTTTTTAATGCAAAGTATGACGGTCAATTTTCAAAATACACATCTCAATTTGTGTAGTCACACTTGAACCAAATGCCTTCTGACGTATGTCCTTACTCGACCCCAGTTAACTCAAGTGCCACTTATCTGTTGGGGATCTGAAAGTTTAACTCAGCTGCATGTTCCCTGGCATAGTGTCTATTCAGAAAGCTCTTCCTTCTGCATATTTAACCCAAGCAGATGCGAAAGGGTAGGGAAAGGGGCGCTTTGGCTCATAGACACATGTACAGATGGAATAAAAGACAAGTACCTGCAGGCTAACTCAGGTGAACCTATCACTCTTAGCAGCTGCTTGGGCTGCAAACCAGAGCATGACAATATAAAGAGAGATGATGTGACCATCTGAAAATACTTTACCATTCAGGAGAGGTAAGTTTGAATATGGTCTGAGGACATTTACCACCCACATCAGACTCCTTAAAAGACCTTTCATAATTTCCACATCACTGCATGATCACAATCATTTGAGCTGAATAGAATTATTTAGCATTTGTAGTCCCGCATTAGTTATTAATCCCCTAAAAACTGTCAATCAACATTTTGCATTAAGTTTCTACCATGAAAGCCTTCTCGGGGCTTAAAATGACTTAGGGATATGACTATAGTTTTTTTTTCTTATTCAGATAATAGGAACCTGTGACTCCACTAATCCGACACCGCCCACATCTCCAGCAGCCACCAGATGACATTGACCTCACTGATTACTCGCTCTGCAGTGATCAGCTCGTTGAACATTAGAGCAATTCCCAATAAGTGGAAGCTGAATTATACAATATCAACTGTAAGTGGTACCTTTAAATCATGTTATTTTAACTTTCTGTCAGTTCTGGCAATATTACAACGTTCTCAAAGTTAGCTTCTTCTTTTGTCCGTTTGTGACAATGTCAAACCATCCTCTGATCAGAGGACGGACGCCATGCCTTAGTGGCGTCTGCGCATTCGCAAATACGGTCGTACCTTCCTCGATGACGCGGCCTCTGTCGTCCAGCATGCCCTGCACCTCGCAGCCTCTCACATACGCTAGGCCAGTCTGCTCCACAAAGGGCTGGCGCCGGTCAAAGCGTGTGCCATACAGGAGCATAGGGCGCACCGTGATCAGAAAGCAAACGTCATGCTTTCGTAGACCTGGAGGAAGAGAGGATGGAAAAAAGTAGAATGAGGAACAAGAAAACAGATGCAAGAAGATGAGACACAAGAGTGGAAGAGAAGAACACCAATGTCCTTCTTTGATCCTTGAACATTTGACATTTATGCTTTAGTAGACATCAAGTCTTTTTAACAGTTACACCACTAAAATATAAGACATAGATATAGACATGTCTGACTATAAAATCTCTGCAAAAAGACAAAGGAAAGTAAAGGTCAAGGGTCATGATGTGATGGGTGAAGCCCATAGTGTTAAATAACTGCATTTAAGATATAAAAGAAAGAGTATAAGTAAAGATGTAGAAAGCATCTATGCATTTACCTTCCCACTCATGTTTAATGTGCTCTTGTACATTGAGGTTGATGGTGACGTCAGCTCGCACACGAGCGGGCCAGCTCTCTCCTATGTTGGGCTTGGCAACCTCCACGATTGAAAAAGAGGTGATGGTCTGAGCCATTCGAGCCCAGCCCCCAAACACCACTCCACCATACTCTGACTGCCTGTGTGAGGACAAAGACACGACAAGAAGTTGAGACAAGTGCTGTGGGCTGTTGCCAAGTTTGGAAGTCAGTTGGCTTCAGGACAGAACATGACAGTGCTGATTTCTTATTTACTTCTGCAGCTTCAACAAGCGGGTTGCAACGACACCTGACAGAATAGGAGCACTTATTATGTTAAGAAATGGGTTTCCGAATGTGCTGCCCCAAAGTGTCCTCATTTATTAATCCTGTGTGAACGTATCTATGGAGCTACATTGTTCATCACCAAAAATCAGAAATAACTTAAATTTCAAAATAATTCTATTTATTTGTAACTGTTCAAAAAAGAACTTCTCACCATGGTTTCATCCTCCAAACCACATCCTCTATGTCCTGTCTGATCTCATAAGTGGACTCCAGACGAAAGAGGTTAAAGTTCCTCAGTAGGTAGTCGTGGAGGGTCAGGAACTGGAGGTTCAGTTTTGGGAGAGCCAGGCACCCTAACAAGGAGAATAAACAGAAAACAAAAACAAAACACAAATGCATTCAGTAAAAAAAAGAGGAAAAACAGAAAAAGAGAAATGCTAACTCAAACAGGACTTCCCATAAAACAAATGACAAAGAGAAGTAGCTACGAGACAAGGCGTAAGACTACCATCAGTAGGACTTTAGCACCAGGCACAGAGCATACATCAAACTGACACGTGTGTTTTGGAAAATGTCGACTTTCATTTGGCCACAAAAATAATCCCGTTTCACACATTTATTACAACATACCTTCGCCTGAGTAGTACTCAGTTGGGACAATGTTTTCATCCCAGATTATCTTCTCTGTTGGATAAAGGGGCATCTGGTTCAATTGCTCAATCTGAGAGATTCTGCGCTCATGACGGGACACCTGTGCATGTAGGAGTGACACAAAGAACATGTGCAGAGAGAAACTGGGTTAATAAAAAATAAATCCAATCCCCTCAACTCTGTTTGGGATTTTTTTTTTATCTGTTGCTAGAAGACAGACCAGGAAACTACAGATTTAGGTCACTCTATTCAGTCTGTTACAATGTGGGGAATCTCTAGTCTCTAGCCTCTAAAGGCTGAAAGTATTTACTTGGAATCACATTAAAAAAAAACTTTTAATTCAGTTTAGCAGAACTAATGTCATCATTCCAATATGCGAATATCCATTTGTTCCATTACTCTGTGCATTGCTTTGTGGTTCAAGGTTTTCAAGGGATATGAGAAAATTCTAAATTGCTCTGAATCTCTTCATATTTTCTATAAGAGGGGAATTCCACACAGCAACAACTGGATAAGAATGCAGAATCTAGAGGGTAAGGGTATGCATGTGCATGCCAAGGCCACAAGCCTTAAAGAATTACTTTGAAGTGTGAAACACAAAACCCATACCAAAGTACAGACTGACTAGTGAATCTTCAGAAAATAAACTGGCCCATTATACCTTTTCCAGATTTCAAACGGCACATTAATAACATCATGGCAAAGTGATGTTGATTTACAGACCAAAGATCAAAGGCGGAAATGCTGAGGTGGACGATATACCAAAAGTCCACACTGTACTCACCAACAATTCAAGGAGAACCTCCCTCTTGATGGTGGTGTCTTCCCCTTCGGGAAGCTCTGGCAGCAGACAAAGGTATGAGGCCACCTGGTGGAGCATGTTTGGACTACAGAGAGACAAGAAATAAACAAGCGGCGAGAAAATTTGCATTAGCAAATTACAAATTTAGCTGACCCGCTAATCCAGAGCAGGGATGACAATAAGCAGACATTAACTATCTGCAGCACAGAGATAATGGCATGGTAATGACTGAAATATAAAGCAGCCAAACAGACTTTTGCGAGTACTCGTCACAATAAATCTAAAAAAAATCATTCAATGATTTTAGACATTGAACAGAGATGTGTAGGTTAAAGCTTTTTGAGGAAATAATACTGCAAGCCTGTGTGTAAGGCCGCGCATCCCTGTTAAGGTCCTCATGCCTATTAGAGCTGCAGCAGAAAGCAAGTCTCCTGTTTGCTTTGACACTGCACTTCTGCTCGGTCAGCATGTATGTTAAGGGCCGAGGGTGCACTGATGAGACAGGATTATGAAAATCAAAGCTCATCCGCGTCTCGGAAAGCTGAGACGTGGCTCTCTGCATACAGACCTGTTTTAATCAAGCTGACACACCGTGACACAGGCAAGGTCTGGTGCACGGCGAAGGACAGGGCCTGGACGCCCTGTGACAGGCCTGGACAGTCACATGTGGCACCGGCCAACTGCGGCCATGTACGTGCAGCCACTCTGCTGCTTGTGATGCCATGCATGAGCAGCGGGGTGGCAATTCTGCCAGGGTTGCACTTTGGTGCCCCAGCGGATGACCTGGCATGGGTCATGTGGACATTCTTTCCTTGGCAACAAAATAACAACGGTGCAACAACTCATTCTCAGTACAGGAGATGACTGGACCAGGTCATGTGTGACAGCCAGTGGCAGGATGAGGTTTAGATGAGTAGATAGATTTCTGAAAGCAGAAATTAGTCCACTGTAAGTCACTCTAAAGCCCTAAGACCGTCCAGTCCTGTTTGAAATGATGTGAGCCACTTAACTGTTACTTAATTAAGTCCATGTGATGTTTAATTAAGAGAGGATTACTTCAGTCATAAGTCAATTTTTGAGTTTTGATTAATCATCAAACAAGTTTGAAAGAAAATTTTGAAATGTTACGATATGTAAAATGTGGATTAAACGGACCGGGGTGATCACGAGATAGAGGGGAATATATTTGGCTTTTTTAGTGTGATTATTCTCTCAAGGCATTGCCCATGTGTCTTCTTTAGGAGTGGAAGAATGAATCATTCATCATGTTAGTTAAATATTTACCATGTCAAAATAGCCGTTTCCATTCTCATTTAACTGCACCGACTCGTTTTCCAAAAGGAAAACCACACGTAGTAAGGGTTCAATTATTCAATGTGCAAAATCTACAACATGAATACGGATTATTTCCAGAATAGATGTTAAGATTAATAATGTAGAGGTTTACTCAACTGATTCAACCATAGCCGCAAAGCTAGTCTAAACAGCTGAGTGGACATGTGCCTCAGCAGCAACCTTAGTTGGGATTTTTACAGGGGTACATTCTGTGGGACAATGTCTTCATCTTTGTTTTCGTCCTGAAATGCACTCGCCATGTTTTACATGAGATATGTCAGAGTCAGAGTAAGCCAGCGTATATGTGAGAGTGGTGGTGGTGGGGTGTATGTGACTGTGAGCAGGCAATGAAATAGCGCTGTGTTGGTGTTTGAGGGACTTATTGGATAAATTCAGAGCGGCGGACTGGGAGCTTAGCACAGCTGGAGTAAACTGGCATTAATGCGAGTTGTTTGGATGAAAAATGTCTTGTTAAATCTGATTGGCATTTTTGGAGTTGCCCAGGAGCTGCTTTGGTGACAGTTATGGAGCTGGGAACAATGCACCTCCGGCTAGATTCAAAATCCTAATTCTGGGAAAAAGGGCTGAGCTTCTACAAATTCAGGAAATGGTTCAGCTAAGACCTTTGCCCGACTCAGCTCAGCCAGAATCATTACGCTGTGCTCAAAAGAAACTCAAGAGTGGGGTTTAAGCATTTATAATCCACCACAGCAGAAAAAAGGGACAATGGAAAGAATAAGAAAAAAAGGGATCTTAACACACTTCAAAACAGACACCAAACACATATATATGACTTGAAAAACTAAGGATGTGTTTACAATAATATCATATATTGAAGAATTTACTAATAAGCAGTGGATGAGTGTTTTTCACTTTCATTCACACAAGTTTCTCACACACACAAGCCAGTTCATCAAAGTGAGGGTGTTTTTTGGCTCCTGCGAGCTAATATGATGTGACAAACACAGCTGTTCAAAGAGTTTATTCTCAAGCCACTGAAAATCGATTAAATTAATGAGGCGTGCCTCTCTGGCTGGTACCAGCTGCCCATTCAAGGGTTCACTTGCTGCCTTTTAGCAAATAAGTCAGGTAGCAATGGCAGCACTGCTGGATCACAACACAGCAGAGCTAAGTGAACGTTTGTCCTCTTACATAGCCTGGGACTTTGCTTTTCCTTTTGATTAGGAGAACTTTAGCACCCAGCAGAAATATTGAAGCACTAAGCTAAATGTCTTCTGCTTTGAAACTTAAAAGAAATTGAGAAAAAAAATAAATAAAATAAAATAAAAAAATAAAAAATTATATATATATATATATATATATATAATACAAAGACTGTTTGGCTATGCCATTAAGACGTTTTTGTTTACCTGAGATGCCCAAAGAGTTTGGTTAAGGATTCTCGAGTGTCCACTGATGCAACATTGGACAAAGCAAAGTCTTGCAACTCTGGGAAATGAGAAAATGCTGCCCTCTGTATGAGAGAAAAGATTCATGGTATTATGGACAAAAATCCAATGATGGGACGGGTCAATATCATCTAGGGCACAGCCAATTAAAAACATCAACAAAGCACACACGAGCTGGATGGGATGTGCCACCAAGTAATTTACCTGCAGTGAGGTGATTCTGTCATAGTGCAAAGTGGTCATTTCTTTCTGAGTCAGAGCATTTCCTGTCTGGTCGTTGATCTCAAAACCAGCGTAGAACTTCAGCATGTCGAGAAGCTATGAAGATCAAAGAATAATACAGAAAACTTTATACGCAAGTTCCAAAGTAAGAATGTTGTTGCCAGTGATGCGCTTGTATTGACAAATCCACTGTACCTGGCGGAAAAGGTGCCCCTCCTTCTCTCTTTGGTTGAGGCCAGAGAGGTGGCAGCTGACCACCAAATGAGCGTCATCCATCACCGTATTGAACCAGCGCCTGGTGGGCAGTAGTGCCTGGACACACGGGACACCAAGTTTACAGCTGGGCAAAATCCGCACATCAAAGTTTCCAGAACAATTACTCCATAAAAAAAAACTTAAACAAGAACAAATTCAGGACAAACATGGAGAGTCTGTGGAAGATGGTCTCAGGCGCTGTATGAACTGACAAGGATAAAGGGGAAAATCACGGCTTTCTGAAGCACAGACACATTTTTCTGCTGCTGGACCCTGATAACCAGTACGTCACCTTTTTGACAGCTTTTTAAAAAATCTTCTAAAGGTTGTTTTGACACATGATAGAGAGGCAAACAGAAGAGGCCCATTGACAATAAGATGTGAAGATGACATGAAAAATAAAATGGCTTCTATAGTCATCATTTACTTTCATGTTGCTGGGAGAAGACAGAAAACCTGCCAAAAAGAGATGCCAGCTGTTTTGGTGGGAACCACAACAAAAAGCCTCTGAAGAATTTGATGAACAGCCTTGTAGAGTGAGTGCAGCATAAAGAATCCCATCATAACAGCAGAAAGAAAAGTGTTCAGCAAATAAACATTGTTAAACGGAGGATGAAGCACAACGTTCACTACATTTTTCTGAGAGTGACGTCCAAACACGGTGAGAACAGCTACATTCACGTCCAACAGCCATCTTTGATCTCAACACAGTCCAAAGAGCCAGCATAACAACAGGGATCTCTTTCCCTATATTCATTTTCAGGTCATCATTAAGGATGGGATGTATAGATTTCAGGCAACTGAGGCTTTGTAAAAGGATAGTGGAAAAGGATGGGAGATTTCTCTGGAGACATTTAGCTGGCCAGGTACTGGCCGCTGCCAGGAACAGCAAGGCCGGCCTGTCAGCAGAGCGCCAGATAAAATCTATTCAGCTTCCTCGCTACAAACAGAAGATCTGCCCAGGCAGCAGGAACGACAGCCTAATGTGACAACACATTTTCACACAGAGCTCTGAGAAATTAGATTCTGAGACTATTTGCCCAGTACCATAAACACTTTTAACTTCATCTTTGATGTGGATACTTAATAAATGCTAATGTTTACAAGACCTTCCCAAGCCAAACATTAGGTAACTCTGGGAACACTAATGAATTAAATTTCACAGCTTCATCTCCAAAAACTAAAACCGATAGTGGAAACGAGTGCTTGGTGGTTTAATGTTAATTCAACATAAAGCAAATCCCACTCACAGGAGACAAACTTCTAACACTATTTGCTGAATGAGACTACTGCTCAGGGGGTGGTGCCTTACCTCCAGATCAATCATGAGCTCAATGAATCTCTCGCAGTAGTGTACCATGTCCATGGATACTGTTCCTGTGGAAGATGATGGGCATTGTGGAAGTTAAAATTTCACCCTAGATCAAACAATGTATTTTGTCAAAGTGGATCTCACAGTGTGGAGGAAGATGTGCATTTTTCACCCAGGATATGAGAGAGACGCATATGGGCAAAAAAAAAAAAAAAGGGGGGCATGCTGAGCTCTTGAGCCTCATTATGTGACGCTGCACGGCCAGCACAGCAGCGTGCTGGGACCTCACCCCTCATTAGTCATGCTTGTGTACACGAGTGTGTCTATGCACCTAAAAGTTGAGGCATGCAGCAAACATTAGACTGATGCAGATCCTGCTGGGTTTTAGATTGTAATCTAGGCTGTCAGGTTTGAATTCTATCTAAACACACGTTCTGTTTTTAGTATTCAGGTGGGGGGCCTGCGTGTCAGCCTGCATTACGATATAGTGGTCAGTGCCTGTGGCTGTATGGCAGCTGGACTACATGCTCCTTCAACAGCTGTATGATCAGAAAATAAAGTGGAGCGCAGGGCCACAAAAAACGTGTTGGAGGAAAAAAATGTGTTGCACTCAAATGTGGACAGTATGTGTGGCACGTTGCGAGTTCAAGGGGCAAAAACCTGAATGTAATAGTGGGGGGAAATATTAGGAGCACATGTAAAAACCTAATTTGGGATCGAAGTCCAAGGGTTGTTATTTCTTTATAGGTATAGATCTACATAAAGGTGTGCTTTTCTCCCTGGTATCAATACCATCGGGATCTCATGGTTATTACTCTAGCTTTAGGAATTCCAGCAATATTTCCCAGAGGAAATAAAAATATTTCTTTCCATTATTACCTGATGGTGGAATTGACATGAGAACTCCATGAAACTTTTTAATAAGAGCTGAGAGGAAGGTCCTCTCTTTCTTTGCCCTGGAAAAGAGACGAGGCCAGTCAGCATAAACAAGCCTCATAACTCATGGAACACAAATCATCATTTCTAAATCTGTATAGATCTTCTGAGTATTCCAGCAAAGAAAACAATATTACTGTGCCGCTGCGTCAGCATCCATCTTATCAAATTTCTTGTTGATTAGATTCCAGAACTTCTGCAGCTTTGGGACTTTCTTCAGCTCGTGTTGGAGTCTGGACTGCAAACATAACATATGCAAATCATTCCATCTATGGAACTACAGAACAGTGGCATTGCTTAGAGTGTCAAAACCAAACACAGAAATGTAAACAAGGTAAAAGGTTGGCATCTTACTGGTAAGAGGCACATCCACATCGGGAGAGAAATGAGCTGCTGCACCTGTTCTCTGATCAAATCCACCTCCTGGGAGGAGGACGCATGGAGAGGGAGAAAGAAGTGAGGGAGTTGTCAAAATGCACTGCACATGACGGATTTTTATTGCACCTCAGCCCTTCATAAAAGTCTGCGACTAAAATATTTACAGGCCTTCACGGGACAAAATCAAAGGGAAGCAGGCTATCGCAGCAGATTTTTAAAGTGAGACATCTGCAGTTTCTCCCTGTGGTCTGACAGGGCCAGCCTGCACTGTGTGCTGTTGCCATCTAGTGGTCAGTACAAGTAATGCTCACACGTCTCACATGGACAAAGTTGCTATTTAAAGTGGTTATCTAAAATGTTGTGCAGACGATAAGCTTAACTTATAATGAAAACTGTAAAAACATAAATAAATAAATACTCCCACAAAACTAAAAGACTTCATCAACAAAGCTCCATAATAATGTGATGATATGATCCCACTGACCCTGTTTTAACCATGTTAAAGGTTTTGAAAACAGCAAACCCCGTCACTGTCATTAATCAGGAAAAAGTAAGGCCTACTAAAGGAACTGTATGTTACTGTAGCTCCACCCACCAGACTGTTGAAGCAGTGGTCCAAGAAGACCAGCAGAACAGTTTGTTCCTTCAGCGTGAGGCCATCCTCCTCGCCTGCCAGCACAGCTTCCATCACACATTTGAAGAAGAATGGGAAATGACTGGGCTCCTTCTTAAACACCTGTTACCACCAGAAAGCAAAGTCGTTAATGTTGCAAAAAGCTGTCAACTGGAAAGACAAATGTAGGGTCTTTGAGGAGAACGTTTAATGCACTATTTTACCTCCCAGGCTGGAACATTCTCTCTGAACTTCTCATTGACGATGCAACAAATGGACATGAGAAAAGCTTTGCTGGAAACCTCAGGCTTGTAGTTCACCCAAAGGTAGTTTTCAAGGTATTGACTAAAAGAAAGTAAACATTGGATTCATGTCAATACAAAAAAATGTTGTTCGATGTTAATGTGCAATTGATTTAATTGTGGCCTATCCATAGTCAAAATAATGAGGTGGAATTAAAATATCTTACCTGAACTCGAGCAGCATGATTTTTCTGATGGCGAATCTACAAATGTTTGAAGAAGACAGAAAACAATAATGAACAGGAAAATTCATCTGGTTTAAAAAGCCTTGTACTAAGAGGAGCTATTCATTCACTTACTTAGACATGAGGATCTCTTTTTCATAGATATCTTCCATGACCTGAACAGAAAAGAATATGTGAAAATAGTCATGTTTTGAGGTGAACCTATCAAACATTTAGAGAAAAAAAGTTGCAAATCTCTGTCATACAGAGAACAATGCCTACTGCAAAGTCAGCTCCAACACTACAATTACTGTAGGTATTTCACTGCGGTCCATCCTTATATTCATTAAGTGATGCAGAAGAAACACATCCCTATACAAGCATAGACCAAGACCAGAAAATGGTCCCAGCCCTTTTAAAAAAAAAAAAAAAAAAAAAAAAGCAAATTAAGATCAGCAAGGGCCCAGTGAACACAACAGCTGAACCAAAGTATGATAGAGCACAGATCCCATGCTATCCAAGCATGTATTGGAAAAATGGATAAAAGAGATCTTCTGCAAGAACAGTCTTAAAGAAAAACATAAAAGGTACCATGTCTGAGGGGTCAGAGTTCATAAAGTGGAGTAAGCTGATTCAGCACAACATTATAGATGATGTTTCTGGCTGGCATATTAGCCAGTGACAAAAGTCAAACACTGGTCTAAGATGTAGTCATGTATAACTCACCTTTGGGTCAAAAGGTAGTTTATTCTTAGCATGTGGAGCCCAGTATTTATTAGCCAACTGAAAGCAAAATAAGCAAACAACAAATAAGTACATACCAGTGTGAACATACATAACTCACAATAACATTGTTCTGAATTTAAGAGGGTTCAGGTAAAATAAAACGTGTAAAATCAATACAAGACATCCATCAAGAGTTATCATCATCTTAGGAATACACTCCTTCTGTTACCCTGGTCACTTTACTCACACAAAAGCATATATGTATTTTTCTCAACATATGCTGGGCCATATATTATGAGTTGAGATTACCTGCGTGACAAATTCTGCATTTATTTGAGATACTGAAGGCGCTGCAACCTTTTTGGCTGGGGTTTCCTTCTCCATGGTGGCCATCTCTAAGTGTGAACACCAAAAATAAAGAAAGAGAGAATTTAGTAGTGACCTATTTACGAAAAGCTTCTGAGGTTAATTGACTAAACAAACAAATGAACCTAAGCTGAGCTACTGAAGCAAAGAGTAAAGACGCATGATATGGGAAAGCTAGCAAGACCGCTTTAAAATTAGGTTTGCAAAATCATTAACAAAAAAGAAACGAAAAGGGAGACATACTGAGTGAAGACAGAAAAAACAAAATCAGTGCTTGTTTTCAATTTCAAAGAAAATAATTAAAATGAATATATCTGCGGCAACTCCAAAATGACAAGTTAACATTAACCAACAGCTTTAAGTGACGTGTTTGGCTGCTAAGCTAATTAGCACCACTCAAATACAGTTGTAGAGAACGATTTAAGACAGTACTATCCCCGCTGTGGCATAACGTTACGTCAATGAAAACTAAAATAAGCACACTAACCTTTACTTTTCATCCAACATTCGTGTCACTGCCGATGGTAGAGTACGACAGCATGTACACAACAAAAACGCGCTGAATACGACTAACTTCCTGTAAGAGTACGTCACTATAATATTCCCCCTAGAAAACAATGTCTTTCGTTCCGATTCGTTTCTTGCACCATGGAGTCTAATGTTTCTTTATTTTTAATTTCTTTATTTTTTGTTTGTTTGTTTTTAGAACACAGGAGGTTGTGGAATTAAAAAAAATAATAGTAAAACTATTCTATATTTCTGATAATATACTGAGTTATTTCTGTAAAGTACTGCAAAACAACAATGGATGGACAGATGGATGGTATATTGATTCGATCACATGAAAATAAAAATAAATAAAAACTAGTGTTAATAACTTGATTTGATAAATAGATATGTATGCATTTAAATGAATTAACCGTAACACACTAAAATGTAATAATTTGCCTTACATCAAACAAGATCGTCATGAGTGCCATGTATTTTTCACTTATGGTTCCTGGAACGAATCCCCAGGGGAACTTTCTGAGTGGAGATTGTATATTCACCCTGTGTCTGCATGGATTCCCTCCCACCATCCAAAAATATGCATATTAAGTTAATTGAACATTCTAAATTGCCCCTAGGAGTGAATGTGATTGTTTGTCTCTGAGTGGTTCTGTGATGGACTGATGGCCTGTAGAGGGTGTGCCCTGCCTCTGGTCCAATGTCAACTTAAATAGGCCCCAGACCCCCCCTGTGAAAGTTCTGTAATTATGTGCTGTGGAGAATGAAGCATTGTGCTGTGAGCTTTGTTTTTAAATGATCACCATTTCTGTAAATGCTTTCCTTATTATTTTAGTTACAAGTTTAGTTTTAACTTGACTTTTTCCTACTGTGTGTGTGTAAGTGTATGTATAGCATGTGAGCTTTATCAATGGTTATGTCACTCTGGCATCACAAGTCTGGTTCTTTCACAATACAGAGTGAATAGTTAAGATTATCTGTTCGTCCTCGACTAGTAACTAGCAAAAGCAGTCCAACTTCAATTAATGTCCCAAAGACATCTCTAAAGCTGCTGTACTTAGTGTTTCCCAGTGATTTGTAGTTTTGACTCACTTTATTTATTGTATATCTCTTAAAATTTGAGGAGTTTTTTTCTGGCTAAAAATACCTTTCAGAGAACCTAAACAGAATAATTTTTTGCTTAGCAGAAAAGAAGATCTGATGAGTTTTAAATAGATTCACTGTTTAACATATTCATTGCGGCCTTGTAGTCAAACAGGCTTGTAGGTAACATGGATAAATGCTGCATTGCCTTGAACTGCAC